CCACTTTATATGTTTAAAATGCCATGTGTTTCATCCGTGGACTTTTAAGTTTCAAGATCCCTCTCCACTATTAGCGATGCTTTATGTGATTTTAAAGGAAATTACCTCCAAATTAAGAGTGTTTGTTGCCACAGCTTGCCCTGCCTTCTTAAACCTATGCAACTTGAAATGCTTACTGGAGCACTGAGGCAGTCGGGGCATGGCAATTTAATTGAAACATATTTTAGTAGAATGTGGGCCGTATTACTGGGTTGTATCCTCAGGGAGGCACATTGTAACAAAAGAGCAGGCGAAGGTAGAGACACGGTGAGGCGAGGAGAGAGGGAGACAGAGTGAGGAGGGGTGGTGCGAGGAGGAGGCAGAATTGCACTTTCACAATGTATCTCAAATCCATAATGGCACATTGTTACAGAGTTTATGGGATGTGTCCCACAATCAATAACCAATTTATGTGAACTTGATGGATGGATAAAGGCCACACTGGTTACGTTACCTGTTTCCCATTCGGACAGTATAGCTGACCTTGGTTTGTGTTTGTGTTCTGGGATAATCTGCCAAGGCTTTTTACTTCCACCTGGAGCAGATGTTATGTGACCGGTGGCGTCTTTATACTTTGCCTATAACAAGCACTCCAGATTTTCTCTAGTGCAAAACTTAATGTGTCTCAACTATCACTTGGTAATATCTTTTCCAGGCAATCTGCCTTGCTTCAGGCATGCCTGGGTTGCTATAACAACAGCTGCTGCTATATCTGTCACTGCTGTGGGTCACGGCTAGCTAAAAGAGCAACATACATCACATCCCTCTTAAGTGCTGGTTTTCATCTATTTCTCCCTGCCAGTACCTTCGCCTTTTGCTGTCTTTTTGTCTTCATCAGCCCCTCTGACTTTGCATATCTGAAGGAGCTCTCTTCCCATGGAATAAAACCCTTCTGTACGTATGTGTTTAAGCTCTGTGAAGACAGACAATTAAAATACACCGAGTTTACTTCAAGTCGAAACTAATCGAAAGGCGTTTTGTTAGCTGCTTTTCTGCTGAGTTAATAAGAGCTGTGAATGCCAGTGGGGCTTATTGTGGTTGATTTAAAGTCAACTTCTTTCTTTTCATCACCATTGCAGTCACAGATAATAAGGAGAACATGAGTTAAGAGTTGCTGAGGGTCAATATTGCATTTTCTTCTCAGTGTCCTGGTAGAGTTAAAGTAACAGAGGACTCATTATACAGTTTGCATGGCACCGAAAGACGGATGTAGCCACATGAACTCCTGCTTTACAGCCTCCTTTTTTCATTGCAACCCCAACACTACTTTTATAGGAGTCAGAAGTTAACAAATTTAGGCGAGCAGTGGGAGTGCTACGTTATCAGCTAATACTAGCTAGCTTGGCAAACAGGCCATTCTATATAAAGATACCTGTGAATTAGTGCTGAGTAACATACTTATTTCAGCTGCTTTCTTTAGAGGTCACCATAGCGGATCATCTTCCCCCAATTTCACTCTATCCCTTCTTCTGTCACACTAACCATGCTCTCTGAGGTTTTCCTCTTTTTCTCCTGCCTGGCAGCTCAATCTTCTATATCCTTTGTCCAATATATCCACTATCCCTCTTCTCAACATGTCCAAACCATTTCAGCCTTGCCTCTATAAGTTTGTCTCCAAACCACTCAACTCGAGCTGTCCCTCCAGTATACGAATTTCTAATCCTGTCCATTCTGGTCACTCCCAGTGAAAAATTTTCACTCTGCCACGTTCAGGTTGACAGGAGGAGGCAGAGGTAGCAGGAATCACTACCATCTTATAAACCTTTCCTTTAACTCTTTTAGATAAGGATGAGAGTCACATTGGTGGTTTAGCTTCTTATTGTTACCTAATGGCAAGGAACCTTGGTGTGATTTTTTTTGACTGTGCTTTAAAATTAGATAAACAGATTAACTCTGTTAAGATGAGTTTTGTTTTTAAACTAAGGCTCCTCAAGTCAAGGCCTGCTTCCTGTAACATAACTTTGAGAGATCAGTTCACTCTTTTATTACCTCTCACTTAGACTGTTGCAGTCATTTCTATTTTGGCTCTGTTAGTCGTTACTTTGTCGCCTGCTTGCTTTTTGGCGAGAAAGAAATGGTGTGATCACAGTACTTTTTTAGGCTCCTTACTCTGGCTTCCAGTGCATTTCTGGATCCAGGTTAAAATTTTATTACTTGGTTTTAAGAGTCTCAGTAGTTTGCTGCCACCATAGTTAACTGAACTTTTGTAACCTTACACTCCTGCCAGAGCACTGGGGTTTAGAACCAAATGAAGCTTATGCACGAGTTCCCTTTCCTTGGGCCAATCAGCTGCCACTTCAGAGCCCCAGCCAAGACTCACTCTTCATCTTCACCACCACCATTGTCTAGGTCAGGGGTCGGCAACCCGCGGCTCCGGAGCCGCATGCGGCTCTTTAGTCTTTATTTTGCGGCTCCGGGTGGTTTGGGAAAATAAATTAGAAGTATTTAGCTGAAGTGTATTTTATTTGTGTTTAGTTCTTTTTTTTTTAACATGTAGTTCTAAATTGGAAGATTATTGGGATTTTGAAATATAAAAATAAAATTATATCTTATTATTTTTTCATCGCTCAAAATAAGCGTCACACTCGCGGAAGCCGGTATACCCGCTGAAACGCTGTGCATTTATCGAGACTTTCGAGCCCAGGTAGGCCAATTATGGATCTTCGGATCCACATTATGTCGGCAGCTGTTGTCCACCGTGAACTAAGTTAAAAACAATGTGGCGATGTAAGGGTGGCGGCTCACAACAATTTTTGTTTGCTACATGGATCATTTTAGTTCAGCTGGGCGTCTTTCCTTTTGTTGTATTTCTTTAAGAGTTCAAAACATAAATAAAATGTAATTTTCTCGGTAGAACTTCATGGATTTCATAAGCAACACACCTTAGTTGCTCTATGGATTCTTTTAAAAAGCAGTTAAAACTTTTCTGTTCAAACAAGCCTTTTGTTGATCTACGTATTTTATATTCTTTACATTATTTACATTTAATCTTTTACATTGTGTATAATGTCTATTGATTGTATTGTTTATTTTAATATTTGTGTACAGCGCTTTGTGACTGCCTGTCTGTGAAAAGCGCTTAATAAATAAACTTTACTTACTTACTTTAGTTGTTCACACAAAGCATAAAGGTAAAAAAAACAAAAAAAAACAATATATGCAGTGTTATCTTCATTTTAGATTTCAAAAAGTATTTGCGGCTCCCAGTGTTTTCTTTTCCGTGGAAACCGGCTCCAAGTGGCTCTTTGGGTGTGAAAGGTTGCAGACCCCTGGCCTAGACTCTGGGGGTTCCTGTCCTATATCCTATCTCCGTTGGTATTTTGTTCAGCCACAATGGTTCATCGGAGTCTAATCGCCAAATGCATTAATTTCACCATTCCATGCATCATTTTCACACAAGAGTCTCTCAATCATTTTAAAACAGATTTAAATAATACTTATTCTCAGGTGCTTTCCATTCTAGTTGAACAAACACAGTATTATTTAGGGTTGTTGTTTGTTTAGTGTTTTTGTTTTTTATGTGCTTTAGAAATAAACTTTGACTTATCTCTAGCTGCTATCTTTCTGTCACAAATAACCCCTAACACGTGTCTCCACCCACTCTACCACTCTTCCTTTTTCTTGTGCTCCGTTTGTTCTTTGAATGGTTGACCCCAGGTATTTAAACTCATCTACCCTCACTGCGGCTGCACTACGCACCTTCAGCTTTCCAGCCTTCTCCCTCTCATTTACACACATATATTCTGTCTTGCTTGAACTGGCTATCTTTCCTCTTCTCTCCAGAGCACACCTCCACCTCTATAGGCTCTCTTGCACCTGCACCAGATCAGGTTTGCCAGAGGTGGCCCACACATGGGCCAGTTGCAGACACACTGGTGGTCCTATGCTGGCCCATGTAATAATCAAGCCATGTAAAAACAACATGTGCCGGAACATAATAGTGCAAAAGTAACATGACTGAGTCTTATATAGCGCTTCTTTATTCTCTACATTTGCCTAATCACACACTTTCTCTAAACTGAGTGGTTCCTAATTACATTCATAGTCTTGACATGGAAACTGGGGGAGCCAGGGATCGAACCACTAACCTTCCAATCAGTAGGTGATCTGCTCTAATGCCTGAGCTACAGCCACTCAGTGGTAAACATGAGTAAACCCTCACTAGGTTTTGGATAAAGTGGACACTCACAAACCTGTTAATTTGAAACGTTGGCCATAGCAGTATAGTATTGCAACATCGTATTTGGGTCTTCTAACTAAAATAGGAAAATAGGAACATAAATAGTGCCATCATTGCCAGACCTGGCAGTCAGAAGTGTCAGCTTGATGCCAGATCCGGGCCAGACCTGTTTTCTGTACTTACTACAGCCCTGCACATCCCCCTTATTCTGGAAATTGGGTACCAGTCAAAGTAGTCCGGCCCCTGAATATGAATAACTTTAAATGTCACAGTATTAGTAAAGGTTTTCAGTCAGCAACAACAGAAAAGCTTTAACACAGATTGTGGAATCCATTGTATTTGATATTTAAAAGCAGCTCACTGAAACATGGCATATTTTATATGTGTAACAGACAAAACCAACATGGTGAAATGAATCACAAAGTATATAAAGTTCTACAGTGCTGTATTATAGAAAGAGGCACACATTTAGTCTCAATAGCATTGCTACTGTAGAACAGCAACAGTCAAAGCATTGAGTATAAATTTCAGATTAACTGTATGAAGCAAGACTTGACCTATAGAATATACTTCAAGACCAGAGCTCAGTGTGGCTATGAGATTTTTACAGAGGAGAGTATAAGAAATTTATCAGTTCAGACCAGCTAAAAGTGTGTGATTTGAAACAGTATTTTATGCATATTTACACTCCATTTTTGTATTACACTTCATTTTGTTACAGCAAAAAAAAAAAAAAAAAAAAAAGACAAATGCAGGCCCCATACAATATAAAAGCTGCACATTTTAGTTTCCTTAAAAAGACTTTTGGCCAATACAAATAAAATTGTGACCCAAAAATCTCAGCATGGTATAAAATTGTAAGAAAACTTAAAAAAAAGAACTGAAAAAGTAGTATATATTCAGTATACAAGATGTACATAACAGACTAGGACATTTTCTGGGATCATATCTGTTTATAGGTCATATAAATCACAGACGCACTACTAACTACCAAGAAATTCTTTAGTTAGTCCGCTCACTGCTCTGTCCAAATGAAGAATGGCTTGTAATTCTCTGATAAAAAGTGCAGTACAATGACATTTGTGTTCTTTAACCTGATGTAACTGTGAAAGCACTTGATTTTTAGAGACGCCTTGCACAAAGGTAAAAAAAAACACTGGAGAGGAAAGGCAGGAGAAAAACTGAGCACTTGGACATTTTTGACTGGCTCCTCACAAGACACAGTCGATACACAGGGGCAGTCAGTTGGCAGGATTCCCATCGCTGCCTGGGAGTAATCATATCTTCATAGTGACACAGATAGGGTTGATGAAACCGATGTCCCACTGTTATTGGTCAATACCTAAGGGGAACAGAAAACATGCTTATCCTTATCCAGTTTTACAACACCACACATTACTGTGCAAAAGCTTTGAGCTTCCCCTCATTTCTTTATATTTTTTTCCTCCAAGGTGCCAGACTTTCCTTGGTAAAGAAGGCTCGGCAGCGCCTGCACTTTTTCCATGTCCTGAACCAGAAGCTGCTGCTGTCCTTCTACCGCTCCTCAGTGGACAGCGTGCCCTCTTCCTGGTGTTTGGAACGCAGGGGCTACTAAGAACAGGAAGGCTGCACAGAGGGTAATTAACACCACTCAAAAATAATTGGCTGCCCTCCGCCACCTCTGGAGGTCAGGTCTTTTGCACTACTTCCAAGCACTTTGTTCTCTTCTATCATTTTGTATATTGTACATTCCTCTTGATTGTATAAATTTCTCCTGTTTGTAATTTATTCCTGCTGTCTTACTTATAATATTATTCCTTCTCAGTTGGCATGGAGCACCCATAATTTTGTTGTACATATACAATGACAATAAAGGGGTATTCTATTCTATTCTATTCTATTTTTAATTCGGTCCTTGAACATCAACATTTTCAGAGGAATGTTTTCTTAAGCCACTTAACAATGACATTTGAATCATTCATAAAAAAGACCCCTAGTTCAAGGGATGGACCAGTCTGTGTTTTGTCTACATATAACATGACACGAAGAAATCCAGCAAAGACCTGACACAGGAAGTGAGATCAGAATTCAGTTGATCCATCTACTGTTCACTGAAACCTCATCAGAAGAGGTCTCAGTGGAAGGGTTGTTGTCAAGGATGGGGAGAAAAGGCTGAGGTTTGCCAAATTACAAAAGAACTGTACTGAACTGGCAACAAGGCAATGTCAGTAGGCATGGAGGAGGTCAAGAGAAACAATGAGTGATTGCAGCTAAAGCACAGTGGAGGCTCTGTCATTGTTTGGGGAGGCATTTTAGCAAGCGGTATCTTGTCAAACTTGATGGTATTACAAATGCAAAAAAATACCATCAGAGTTTGATCCAACATGCAATACTATCAAGAAATCGTCACGAAAATGATACCAGACATGCTACTAAAAAAAGCATACGTGAATAGGAAAACACACAATGACACACTTTTAGTCATGAATTCGCCTCCCCAGAGCCTTGACCTCCAAATTATTAAAGTGTGTGTGTGTGTGTGAGGGGAGGGGGGAATCATCTTGACAACAAACAGAACAAAAGGCACCCAATGTCCAAAGAACAGCTTTGAAAGTCCTTCAAGAAGCCTGGAGAACTATTCCTAAAGTTGCTTAAATAAATGACAAGAAAGCTTGTTTAAGAGTTCAGGCTGTTAAAGAGTAAAGATCAAGTTGGTCAAGTAAAGGTAAAGTAAATACCTGCATCCATTTTCCAATTTCCTTGCAAAATGCAAATAAATGGTTCAAGACTTTTGCACAGTACTGTGACACCTACATCCTAAACATGCAACTGTGCATAACATTCAATGTGCTAGAAATCAATATATCTAAAATGAACATGCTTACATTCCCCACACTTTCAGATACTTCATTCAACACTGCTTGCATTAATTATGTGCAATCGTTCCTAATGGAAAATCATTGAAAGTGGGACAGATTGGACACTGAATGGTGACTGAATAAAAATGGAGGATTCGTGATTAAGTGAGGCCGTTTTTTTTTTTGTTTTTTTTTAAATGTCAGAAATGAAAGCCCCTTTGAAGGGGATGAGAAAGAAGGGCACAAGGGGTGTTGAAGCAGCAGACTCCTCCACAGAGCTGCACAATTATGAGTGATAAAGGTACAAACACATGAATTGAAATACAAGGGATGATTTCAGTGATTGGAATTGGGATGAGAGAATCACATATAAAATACCGTGTCATTGAAAACCACTTTTATTCTGTAACAGGAGCGGCTGGATTGTCTTTCTGCTCAGAGGGAATGGCTAGGTAGTTTGTCCTGTGGGCAGATTGGCAGAAAAACAGAGGAGTGTCTAAGACCTGGTGCTATGGGCCTCTCTAGCACCACACACCACAGCTACTTCGTGCTCATGACAGTGCAACAATTCTGAATTTCCGTTTTGTTTATTGAAGCGTGAAAATGTGACTCTAATTCACAGAAATTAAGGAATGAGTTTTACCAGATAAAAAATATCTAATCCGAGCAGTGCCCTAGGGACTGCGTGGAAGGCACATCAAGATGTGCAAGATGTGACATCCTAATTCAGCATTTTACAGCCAACCATCAGTATGTTTAAAAAAACAAAACACAGTACTTGCACTGAATATGCTCCCAATTCAAAAGAGCTGCACTGAAAGTGTGTAGATGAAGAACACTTTATACAAGTGAAACGAGTTTTGTGACTGTAAGCACATTTCAGAAATAGCCTAATTTAACTCTTTGACAGATCACATCGTTGCCTCCTATCTTCTCCTTTAGGGACATGACTAATATGTTCTCAACCACTAATGCATCACAAAAGGTAATCTCAAAATGTCCTACTTGTGCTACATATGGCATTCTTTGAGTGGGTAGACCTTCTGTGTTGTCATAAGGGTCACTAATGGCTAATGGCCAAAGCCTATGCAGTCTTTCAGCTACAGGTAGTGACAAGGCTACGGTATTACAGCTGAGAAAACTCAGATCTAATAGTTTTTTGAGATTTCTGAGCTTTTTGACTGTTGCGGTTGACTTTAAATTAAAAAGCTTCTTTCTTTTGCTTTACAACTTTTCGTTTTTGGGGGTGTGGCACTGTTACTTGATAATGAGAAGGTCCTTTCTGTGTCTATGTGTTTCCTCCCACAGTCCAGCGACTTGTAGTTCATGGCATTAGGTTAACTGGTTATTTTAAATTGCCCAGTGTGCGAATGGTTGTATGTCTTTCTTTGGTTCAGCGTGTCCCATTTCCTCTCGCCCTACGACACCTGGGCCGGAAGGAAATGGATGGATGGAACTTTTGGTTTCTCCTATATTTCCGATGGTTCACCAGAATCAGTGGAGCCACTTGTATTTAATTCATGGGGGCAATTCATTTTCCAAACAAAATTAAAAAAGTAAAATTGTTTAAATTGGAAATTAAAAGCGCGATTGAGACACAAAAGGTCCCCAATTCACAACTAGGAGAAAACACAATGCACACCGCAAAAGAAGAAGAAAATTCAAGCTGGTGAGGCCATCGAAATGCATAAATCTTAGAATATCAACAGATAAGAAAACTCAGAAAGCCTTTGAATCAGGTTGCCTTGATATTTTGAATTTTTGGAGCATTTTATTTTTTGATAATTGGACTATTAATTTATCTGTCAATTTGTCTACTGTTCATAAAATTGAACCTAAATGCTTCAGGAAAACACAGATTGTAATACCTACTTTGTAAAACTCAGCGACCAAGAAGTGTCAGAGTGATTTACTGCTATTTAAATTAAACCATATTAAAAAACAATACTGATTACAAAATAGCCCCAAAGTCCGTCTATCTGTCTGTGTGTCTGTCTATCTGACAACACTGAAACATTGGCCTCACTGGCCAATAATGCTGTAATTTTTAATTTTGTGCTTGATTACATTTGTCACTACACAAATATGAGATAGTACATGACTGTTTTCTAAAGTTTGAAAACTGTGAGAAAAGTTCTGCATTTTAATTCTGCCACTTCCAATAACTCTTAATTACCTGTTAGTGCTAATAGTAAAATAGAAAGCCAATGAATAACCGAATATTTTTAGAGAAGTTTAGTTTCAAATTTAGTTGAAAATATAGTTCTTTGAAATATATTAGCTCACAGAAACACTTCACTATTTATTATGTTGTAATATGTCTAAACCCTGGATATTGGGTCTTGTGAATATTCAGCAATGTTGTGCATATTGTGCAGTACGTGGACTTAATCTGTCACTGAAGGAAGCAGATATGTAGTGTAGCAGATTCAGTAAGTGTTTGCAAAATAAAAATAACCGGATCAGCACATGCATGATTGCTCTCTTCAGGACATAAGGTCCCTGTACAAAAGTTGTAACTGTGGGTTGTGAAGGTTAGCTGGCACCACTAAAATCCAGTGGGGGCTGACTATAAAGGTGCATTTGGGTCTTTGACATTACTGACAAGGCGATGCAAAATGCCCGTCACTGATGGAGCTGAAAATCCATCACGGATGTTAAAAGGTTGTTTAGAAAAAAAGAGCAGTCAGCAGTTTAGGTAAAAGACAGATTAGTGTTGCAGGAGGGTTACAAACTGATGGACTGAATTACTTCTCTGTCTGTGTGTTTGCCCCCCTGCCTCATTCCTTCCCTCTCAGTCCCTTTCTTCCCCGATTGACTCTTAAATCTTATTTCCCTACCCACCATATTTTTTAGATTTTAAATTACAATTATGTAACCAGAAGTCCTAAGCAAATACACACTTATAGCTATTTGTGCACTTCCTTGGTGACTTCAGACTTTCAAATTAATGTAAACCCACTGCTGAGTTTTGACTCATAACGCATAAATATCTGAAAATGTGACGTCATGGTTGTGTTCAGGACACACGCTGTTTAAATTCGCTGTTCAGTCACATCCCTGCTAACATTTATCTGTCTGTGCATCTGTACATGAGACTCACGCTGTGTCCTGGGCCTGCTCATCAGACTTGGAGATCTTCCTGTAGCAGTAGACCATTTCTACCAACAGCCAGAAGGTCAAGAACACCAGCAACACATACATCATGATCTCAGAGTAGATTGCTGTGGTGTCGTCACTGGCTGCAGAGTTAAAACAGTGGCAAAGCACATGTATTATTCATTATGCATGCTTCCTTGGAATACCGCGAGCAGAAAAGAGCAGAAGAGACCTGAGCTTGTACAACACTGCTGATCCACAATCATTTGTCATACATAATTTTTTAATGCATTTTATGTCTTTCACTGAAGAACAAATCCAATTAAACAAATAATAAATATGGTTATGCAGCTACAACAAAAAAGCAAACAAAGGTGTTTTATTCAGGAGCATCCTGACTGTAGATACTCTTAAAAAGTGATGCAGAAACTACTTCATGTTGCATTCATAATATTATGGCCATACCTGTAATATAATGAAAAAGACCCTACAGAGTTAAAGGTGCCCAGTGGAGATTTTGCAAGGCTGCTTTTATACCAAACATTTCCTAACAGTGTTCACTGTTTTGTTGCAGAGCTTATCTTGTTGTTACATATGTGTATGCAAACATCTCTATCGAACATTCGACCTAAATCTGCATATAAAAACACTAAATCTCCACAGGGTATCTTTAAGTATGAAAATAGGATGAATATGCAATGTCACAGAGGTTCTCAGAGCGTGAAACATACTCTAACTTTAGAATCTGTCATAAAAATAATTGCATGCTGTTTTTGACACCAGAACAGCTTTTGTTCCTTGTAAACAATCCTCTTCTGCTCATTAGCCATTCTGAGATGCTTCTGGAATAAGTAATAGCACATAAATCATCCGGTCCTATTCTAAATATTACATACTTAATATACACTGAGATTAGCTGCAACATTAAAACCATTCACAATGCCTGCCGGGATTAAATTCTGCGAGTCTTGTATACACCTATGCCGCTCTTCACCAGCATAGACATTATAGAACATATGGCTACACAATAAAACTAATTAAGAACGAGCCCAAGGCACTGCCTCCAAACTCCCTCCAAATTAACCATGCAGGTGAAGAACGAGAACAAGCCCCACCTATGGAGGCACCATCCTGCAGGTACTAAGGAGTCTGCTGCTTATTTATTATCGTGAGACAAAGGCACCCCCAGAGCAGGCATCAAAGTACTCGACAGGTGGTTTTAATGTCACTGCGGTTCAACAGATAGTTTATTTTACTGATAATTCAATATCCAGTCAGTGAAATCAAACAAATATCTTGTTTGATATCTTGTCAACATCCTATTGAAAATGCTTTCTCATTTATTGCTTTCTGTCCATTGTTTACAATGGAAGGCCATTAGAACAGCATCCCATTAACAACCCATTAAGAACAAGAAGAGGGATTACAAGCAAGCGGAAGCTGTTTCAAAGTGCACATGGGCACCTTCGGCTGTTAAAGAAAGTTTTCCTTTTATTGTCCTTCATTTGTTTTCATAACGAGTGACTGTGAACCACTGTGTCACTTAGTGTATAACAAATTCCAGAAAGCCTGCTGACCAGACAGCTGACAGCTTTTTCTGATTTGATTCAGCAGCCCCAGCAAAAGGAGAATATTAGTGAAATATAATCCCTTTGATGGGAAAGCATGGATATGTCAGCCACGAAGTAATCCATTCTACCACTATGGATGCCATTACTGCAACATTAATGTAACCATGGTCTAGTGTACAGTAGCACTAGCTGCAGGCTTTTTGAAATCTGAAACAACTGTTCTGTGAAATATGGAGGACAGGCTGTGAATATAATAAAAACAATCTAACTGTACTCTATTCTTCAGTCTTCTTTTTATGGGTGCAAACTCTTTAAATCAAACTAGCCTATCGCCTGATAGCTCACAATATGTTATGTGCAAGCATATATAGAAAATGTAAGGTTAGAGAAATGGGAGAGTTGAGTAATTTCAAATATACGTAGGGTATATTCGATTAAGGTGGAACATGACACATTCAGCAAGCCAAGCATTCAGGAAGCAGAATACATTACCCCTTATTATAGATAGCAAAGTAGCTGGTTTGAATTAACACCTTCACTGACAACAGAAGAAAGCTTTGATGGACAATAAAGGCAGACAAAACAACACACAGTTATTCCTTTTAAACCAGTGCAGTCACAAGAAAGGGGGAAAGAAGGAAAGTGGTGCAGTTAGTGGCAGACTGCGTTCACACTCGTGCATCACAAAAAAAACCTGTTGGAAATATATTAGATGTACTATTTTTTTATCTACTGTTGGTGATTTGTGCAACATAAATAAACATAAAACACAGACTAGTCTTTCTCTCATCTCAGTGTTAAATGTGCAGGTCTACAGTGGAATCGTCACTTAAGGTGTACTGCATTTGCAAACTCTTTTCATTAAGTGAGTTTGGAGAATACTCGTTAACAAAAAGAGCATGTGGGGAAAATGGAACGTACACAAACTAATGCTGGGAAGATATTTGAGAGAGAGATTTTTCATCATATCAGTCATTACTAGCTTTTTAGTTTCCATTTATATTTGACTTATTTCGTGTTACTGATGTGGAAAAAAGAGCTAAAGCTGAGCACAGGACACAGGTGGATAGTGTGCAAGAATTTTACATTTAGGCATACCTTTCTCCTTCACAGTCAGGTTGATGGTCTTGTTTACTTCGAAGACTGGAGTGTATAGTTCAAAGTCAAACAAACGACGAATTTCACAGGTATACAAACCACTGTCATTATGGGTGACATTACGGATTTCAATGGAGACCTCTTGTAAGTCCTTGCTTCCGTTCCAGTTTAGACGGTCCTTAAATGGATTATCGTCCACATTGGAATTGTTAGTGTTATATTCGTATATCTAGAAGAAAGGAAAAGTGTGCAGGCATTAATTAAATACACATACAGTGTGAGCAAAATCACAATGTGCTAGATCATTTACAATAACGTAGAAACAACTTACAAGATATGAAATATTTTTGCCTTTTGTTGGACTTGGGGTGTAAAGCCATTTTACAAATGTCTTTACGGTGACCTCCTCCCTCTTCAAACAGGAGATGCAGGTCAACTTCATGGCTTTTCCCACAATTGCTTCTGTGTCTGACTGGACATCGACACATACCGGCATGCACAGGTGGACTTGAGAAGCATGGAAAGGTTACACATATTTAGTTTACCGCAATGTAATTGTAAAAACAAAAAAGAGAGAGAGAGAGAGAAAAAGAGTAGAAAAAAAGAAAGCACACCCTCTATGGTTTCACACATAAGAATATAATTAAAAATAATCTCATCCTTAGCAGGTCTTTAAATTCAACAAATACAACCAAGATAAATTAGAAAACATGACATCCTACACTGTGTCATTATTTCCTTACAAAAACTAATCCAAAATGCAGAAGCTCTGTGTGAAAAACGACATACACTCTTACGGCCTCCATATGAGTTAAAAGGCCAGGTGCTGCAAATCAAACATACTCGATTAATTGATCATCTGGAGCATTCAGGCGTGAGTTAACACAAAGCTTATTAGTTATTAGGTATTTTCTTAACAGTCTGAAGTCAATCATTAAATGTTAAGATTATTTTAAGACTACAATGGTACAGAGTTTCTTTCCCACTGTCAGGTGTATGCTCAAAGGGGGGTTGTCTGATTGTTGGGGATTTCTCTGTATTATTGTAAGGTCTTTACCTTACAATATAAAGCACCCCGAGGCAGCGGAAGTTATGATTTGCTGCTATATAAATAAAAGTGAACTGAAAGGAAAGTGAATTAATTGGTTCTATAGGCTACCGACTGCTTCTTTTAGCTTAGTTTTTGGCAAATCAGTAACAGTCTAACATGTACTGCTGTACATGTTAGGTTCTATTTACCTAACTTTAAGACCTGGTAAAGACTAGATACACTTTTGTTATATTCTGTTATCTAAAACCTTAGAATTGGGTTCATTTTCAGAGGGTTCACCTTCTTTTTACCATGACCATATTTTTTTATATATGAATGATGTGACAAGCTGAACCCACTAAACATTAAGAATGTGCTTTCCAAAGGTTTAAAATAAAACCAATACTTATGTATTCAATTTTGTAAAAATGTACTTTCTTAAAACTGACCAACACAATGGAAAGAGGAAACAAAATATATAGTGTATTTGTTTTTAGGTGTCAAATGTCCCTTTAAAGATGCACTTATTACTGATCAAATTCCAAGCATTCTGTAGAATCTGCCGCGATGCATCATTTTTTAGTTATTCATAAACACATGCTAGTGTGGCAAGAACAGTTTTAATGCTTTGTAATAACTTAATGACCCACTGATGTGTGGTGGTCATCGGGTCTCACACTGAACCCAATGTTGAACCAGATGCAAAGTCAGTGAGCATTAAAAAGATAAACTGGTTTATAAAGCTCTGTGGGCCATTGGAGACACTTAAATCACAATATTGATAGCAAATTCAAGCCCTAATGATGGCCTCTGCCCATTAGTATTTACTAGCAGTGGGAGGAATAAATGGATAGAGGGAGTGCAGAAACTGTGGGTAGTGTAGGAAGAGGGAAATAATACAAAAGGGAGGAGCTAATTGAAATATAAATGCATTAGTGGTAGAAGAATATTGGGAGAGGCGTAGGAAGTGAGTAAACATATGCAAGAAAAAAAATTCAGTGGATTATAATCACAAAGACACATTTCTTGTGTTTATGTGACTGGGCCCAGTGCTCTTATATAACCCAAAGCCGCTGGGCTGACAGTGACAAACATTGATTCTATCCTCTCTCTCTTTTTTTTTAAGCTGAGGGTTCACACAAACACATGGAAACAGAGCAGAGAAATAGAGAGGAAGGCATGAAGGGGACAGAGGAAATGGGGAAAGTGAAGAAACTTAACCCCAGTGGCCTCTCTTCAATGATTCTATTCATTTCCCTTAAATGCTGACAACATTAAGCAGTGAAGGGCTCTGCAGACCAATGGGACTGCTCTGAAACTGGGTTTTGAGTTCACAGCTTCCTGTGTGGTTCGCAAGCCACTGCCAAGGCCCCTGATTACTCATTGTTGTATAAAAACGTACGATAGAAAATGATAAGTCCACAGTCAAACAGGATATTTTGACATCTTGCAGAATTATACTTACCAAGAGAAATCAAAAGTACCAAAGTTTGCCGATGAAGCTTATATTGCGTTACCATATTCAGCTCTTTGTGGAGCTGCTGGAGGACAGTATCGCTTTAACTTGGTCTTTTTCTCAAGTAGTCTTCACACGAGGTCTGGTGTGAGACAGAGGAGTTGTTGAAAAGACTTCAGGACCACGGACAGCGCCTCTTCTCGGCCGATAAGAGCGCAGGTAACTTTCCTCTTCGTGTCTGAAAATCCACGCCAAGAACTCTTAGAAAAGACGCGTTTCTGATTTACACATTCAAAAAGGGTTCTTCTTGGATTTTAATCGTTATTTTGAGGCGCTCATCTAATAACCGAAGCGTTCATATAGCCCTTAATGCGCAATTCTCATTTACACAGTAAGAACTAAGTTCATCATTTCCTCGACTCGGGGAAATAAACAAGTCCGTGATGTGAGACGACTACATGAGTGATCCCACAGTTTCTTCGCGCATAACTGCTGTCACTGAGTACGGACCCATCCAGAAACACCGCGGAAATCTTTCTAGAAACGGGCGGATAGCATCTGGAACCTGTGGATTCTCAAAAGCCGACGTACTCACTTATTGTTGCGAGATCTGAAGTCCTGATTACACACATGCAGAAAAAAGCATCGAGGCCAGTTCTCTCATTTCACCCCTCAAAGAATAAGCCTACTGACTGTCAGAAATCTGTTTCCTCCATTAGAGATGACTGATGACATTTCCCAGCCGCGGCTCAATGTCTTTGTTTTTCAGCAGTCACTTAGCGCTGGCAGGGGCAGAGGGTTTGATACGCATGCGTGAGTCACTCCCTCCTACGCTACAGTGTGCAGGACCACATTATTGTCACTTGGGTAGGCCTAACCAACTCAGCCGGTAAGCTTGTTTGCATTTGCTTAAATATTGACTAAACAAAGCTCAGCGTGCAGAAACACCGCGTGCACACGTAGAAACCAAAAAATGCAAATCAGTCCTAAGAATGAACATTATATGAAGGAATAAGATGACACAAGGCTGTCTTTGTCATGTGTTACATAAGCTTGTTTAGAAGCTGGAAGCAGAGTTTCTTCTTAAGACATTTCATTAGTTACACATCAGTACCTGCATTTCCTGCCCCCGCCCAACCAGTGAAGAAGTCTCACAAAGATTTTTATATGTCCTGATGCTGTGTCATTGTTTTTTTGTTTTTTGTCTTTTAAAGTGAAAGATCTTGGATCAAAACAATGCTGATTTCTTGGTCAGTGTTCCAGAGTGAAAGATTTTGTTCCAAAGTGTACAGAAGCACCTAACAAACAGCTTAACCAACGTCAAGGTGATAAATGTGTACCTATTATATAAATATAAGTCTATGTAGGTCTGTCACCACATCAAACTTTATTTTCATGGCTTTTTATTCTAAAGAAAATGTAGTGATTTTCAAGACTGACAATGCTAAAAATTGAAGTTTAAAACCGAGTCAGTAGGATGCAGTGATTCACTCGATTCAGGCAGGGAAAAAACAGTCCATCACACCACCTGCACCAGAGAGAGTACGCAAGTACCTGCTTAAAAATTGCACTTTTTTCTATCAATAAAAACCAGCAGGGATTTGACTCAACTGTAAAAACTAAAAGAGGTGACAAGGAGACAAGGATAAACATGTTTTCCTGCTCTGCAGACCTGAATAACATCTAATATTAATACCAACAGACTTGCCTGATGGATGTATAAAGTGCTTTCTGTTGGGCAACCTATTGCAAACTTTAATATACTGCACATGTATTATCTTAAGTATAAAAGTGCCAACAGCTGGTTAATACTTACCAAAAAAACCTCTTACAAATCCCATTACTAATCCAGCCATTGTAATTAGAATTAGAAAAAGATTTATACATCTTGTTTATTTGTTTATTCTTTATTTCTTTCAGGGACTATGTAAAAAAATACATTAACATATTTGCATAAAGGGAAAACATTTTTGTACCAGATTTAGATTAGTAGCTAATTTCCATCTGCAGTCCCTGGGCAGTTAAAAAAAACCTGTAAGATACAATTAAAAATCAATCAGCAAAGATACACACATACAGACACTCAATTACTCACATATATGGACACACACACACACACACCATAACAAATGCTAAACAAGTATCAAAATTGGCAGTCACTGAAATCACCAGACATGCTTCCTCTGTGCTTTGGTACACACGAAGGAAACCAAATCCTCTGAAGCACTGACCGAGACAACGGGGTTGCTATGACGTTAAAAGAAAAGCACTGAGATAAATCTATGATACAGCACAGTCTGAAAGAGCCATAATAATCTCACTGTGACATCACAGTATTTAATTTTGCAGCCACTGCATCTGGAACAATAAGAAGATTATCGCCAAAGGAAACTAGAAATCAAGGGCTTGAGAATGTTAACGTCATTATAATGTTGTACTTTATTCTTTTTTAGATTTATGTTAACAGCCACGCTATTAAATAACTACACCTTTAGTCGAACTCTGAAACAGTCAGGGAGTGAATCAGCCGCTGTGGGGCTGTGATTCTCACTGGTAAAGATTTTAATGTAGAAAGCAGAGAGGCAGCTGAGTGTACTCCTGTGTTGCTGTCAGCATTAACAGTAGGCTGGCTCATTGAGGAGCAGACTTAATATGGCAGGCCCGGTTGAACCATATCCTGCAGACAGGGAAACCATAGCAACAGTAATGCACTGCCATGGCGACTACAGGAGGTTCGCTTAGACAGCCTCAGAGTCAGGATGACAATAGAAAGCCTAAAAGGGAGCGCTCTTTTATTTAATTATTTTCTTACAAAAAGCATTCGAAAGATGGGGGCAAATAAAGCAAGTGAGTATGTTTAGGCAGGGGCTTGATGTGGAATCAACAAAAAGATTTAAGGAAATTCTCCCACATTGTTCCCTACAATGGCGCAGAGTTAGGAGGAAATAATTGCAGCGTTAATAGCCCTAATTGAAACGCCAGGTCTGTAAAAGTCACTTTGTTTCGCTGCTCTGAAAACCTTCTGATAATTTGCCCACGACTTCTTTAACAATTCAAAGCACGCCTGATTGTTTTTTCCTCTTTTTGCTGGGGCCTTCTGAGAGCTTTCATCATTTAAAGGCTGAGCTTCAGGTGTGAGGTGCTAAGCTTATAAGAGTAGTTACAGAATTGAAAAAAGCAGGTGGAGTTGTGCAGAGTGAGTAAGTGGTCGGGAGTCAAGTGCGGAGGAGGTCTGTCCAGAGACTGAGCAAAAGCAGAAGAAACATGTCCAGCAGTAGCCCAGGTAACCGTGTGCAGCCACATGAGGTATGACAGACTGACAGAGAGGAGAAATCTTGATTATAACAATGGATTTTGCAATCAGAAGGGTTTTGCAGAAAAATGTCAGCCATAGAGAGGAAACATGTTTTCATAATGAAAGAATACATAATGAGTCTTTTTTTCTCTATGTTCAGACCAAAGACGAGGCAGTACCAGCTCCAAATCAATAACTCAAAAAGACAGTCATGTACGTGCACTGACATCATTAACCAACAGCCTGCACAAGGGAATGAACGTGCAAATGAGTGGGTTTGAGAGTACATGTGCATGCTCATGTTTGTACGATAATTATGCCTCTTTGTGCATGTGTGTGCGTGCAGGCATCCTCGACGATTCACTGTACAGAGCAGATTTCTAGGGATTTGGAAGGTGTGGCGTGAATAAGGCACGGCGGGACCACGGAGCAACGTTCAGAGCCAACTTTATTTAATTCACGTCACACCACACACACACCAACCCCTGAGTCCCCGTGTTTTAACACGGCGGGCGTGATTGCGGATGCCGTGCAGGTGCGTCCGCACGGCACCGCAAACCATGCCCCACCACAGAAGGATTTCAAGATTATACCGTGATTACAGCAGACAGCCATGGATCACACATGCCAGAAATTCTGATGTATATCTAATGTGCTCCTTGCTAGAAAAGCCTCTTAATACTGCAGTAGGAAATCACTCATGTGTCATTTCTATTCATTCTCAGTGTGTGACTATATCTGTATATTTCACATGCTATCACTGTGTTGAAAATTACCTTTAGTTTATTCTGACAATTATTCTGGCCAGTGAAACGAAGAAAGGTGTAACAATCCTCACAGTACACTCAGTATGAAGTAATCTAAACACTTAGCATTTGGTTTTTAAACAGACATGCAAAGTTATGTACTTCTCTTCATCTACACAATGGATTCCACACATTTACTCCTGACACTGTAAGCCTGTGATATTTTACATCATTCCTCACTGCTGGCTTGCTAAACATTAGGCTTCCTCTCAGGTCATGATGATTTGGTCTTATTTGGAACAAGTTTTGAATGTTGCTTGTTTGCTGCTTTATACATTATTTGTGGACGTTTGAAGTCAACCTATTTCAATTTGAATTTTATGGTTCTTTGGAAGTGGGCGCATGTATGATCCTTGTTGTTCTTTTTTGCAGAATGTATTTGATTTTCTAGAAAAATACAAAACTAAAAGGAAAAAAATCCAAGTTGCATAAATTTGTGTGCATTTTGGTAGTTTTTTACCAAATCGTTGTGGGAAGATGGGATAAAATAACAATTTTGAGATCAGACACATTACTCTATGCATATGGGCACACAGATACTAATGTAACATATGTGTTAAATACTTGTGAATTTCACCCAAAACACATTTTTTTGGATTAAATATGTCATTTTGGCATCTCACTCTCCTACCTGTGTGATCTGAGTCTGTGTGGGTGTGCGCTGCGTGATGACGTAGGCGCGTGCATGTGTGCCCCGGTCACAGCTCCTTTCAGCATGGCCGGAGGAGAGGTGTACTGGCAGTCGCGTGACACACACAGATCAGACACATATTTCTGTGTTGCAGATGTGCAGTAAACAGCCAGAGACCCAGTACTGTCTCCTGCCTCTTACTTTCACGCCAGAACACAACGCAAGAACAACAGGCGTAACACTTGAACGGGTTACACTTACACAATCATCACACAAAGCCATTCATCCTAAAAATAACCCATGTTTTCATCTAACCAACTAGAGCAAGCCTAATGTAGTAAATAACCACAAAGATTTACACACTCAGAGCTGCCCAGTAAGTTGTTTTATGTTGCCATGTCCCACTGCGAGGTACTCTGGACACAAATGCAAAGTCAGTGGCACCAGAGCCAATCTAATTGATAAGGCATGAAATGTCATTGAGTCACTGAACTACACCTCACATGTGTACACACACATACACAGAGCCACAGGGCAATGCCAGATTCAACCAGGGGGACTTGGCACAGACCTCTAAGCTAACACTGATAGTAAGTGAAGACTTGTTCCATCTGACCTTCTGATTTGGCTCACAGCCCCCTGTAGGAATACTGACTTTCTATTATAAGACCCAGAACGCTATGCGTCAAATAAATCATTGAACCAGAAGAAGACAGCAGTTGTGCAACATAGACTTCTCTTTTTGGAGCAAAATCAAATCGGTGCCTTTCGAATTGTGCAGCTACGTTTAGTTCCACTCGGTTAATCTGCTGGTTACAGAGAAATCTCACTAGAACGACAGCTCGGGGCATAAAGTTCAGAACCTGTAAGTGTGCAAGAGAGAGAAGAGTTATTGTAGTTTAATATTACATATTCATGAAAAACACGCGGGTTGTCACCTCGACACGGCGGAGAAGCTGCTGTGATCAGGAAGTAGAACAGAAGCACCGGTGTCACCTTGTGTTCAATCAGCTGAGCTTTATTGTCTTAACTAGAAAATGATAATGAGCACAATCTGTCTTAGAGACCAGTATTAACTCCTGACTAAGAAATTCTTTGGACAAGCTGACAGACTGTGTCATGCCACTCCTTGCAGCTGCAAATTACTTTTGTCTGGATCCACACATAATTGAAAGGAACTACGATGAATTGTTTTTACGAAGTGCACCAAAATGAAGACAGAGGTCACTTGTATCGTTACTCGAATAAAACAACAATATTGTACAGAAATAGCCACTCAAGGTCTAACATGAAGGAGCACAAAAAAGGAAAAAACCTTGATCATTTGTCCACATTCAGATTGTTGTGCACTCAAATGTCATCAGTATCTGTTTAGCTTGTTGTATTTTCTATTGCAGGCTGCCTTTTTAGCTCTTGCTCTCCTGGAACATTAAGATCTTGAGTGCCTGGCGTCTGGCAGCCCAATAATGTGTCAGGGTTGTTGCTTTGGACAGTGTTACTCTTCTGGTCAGAAATATGACTCTCCAGTTTATAGCTATCAAGACCTCTGCTCTCTTCGGCTTGTTGGCTGTGACTGTGGCTAGCTGAAATACTGTCCCGCCGCTGGCCATCGTTGGGGCTCAAACCATCTGTACTACCATAATTCTCACTTTCTCCCTGCTGTGTAGTGCTGCTGTCTGTTTGTGTGCAGCCTCTTGTCCCATCTTTCGACTTGCTGTCATGCTGCTGGCATCGTGTGATCTGGCCTAATGTGATTTGGAGCTCATTGAGGCGCTGTAATACATAGCGTCTCTTCAGTTCCAGCAGGATTGTTCCATTACGACTCAGGCTTGGCATGTCTGTTGGAGTTGCCCTCTGCAGAAGAATAGATCACAGAGCATGTATTGTAAATGATGTGCTGTAAAGATATGACTGAGTTCATGCACATAGTCTCGAGCAATAATGCAAATTCAGACACAGATCACGTTCATGCATACTGATTTACGCATTTCTCTTTTAAGTCAAGGCTGAACATCATCATGAATATCGTAGATTAAAACGAGTTATCACCATTCAATCACTGCAATGTGCCATTTATATGTATGAAATGCAGTAATAGCAGATACTGGCAAAATCAAACGAGATCATTTCACAACGCTGAAGTGAAACTTGGATGAAATCAAAACACAAAGACATCATTTAAAAGCCCTTCACAACACAATTAAATTAACACAGAGATTCATGTTTTGGATTATGTAATTATATGTGCAGTGTATAATGTTCCAGCTAATTACTGCAGAATGGTTTCCAGCGCTGTTCTCTCTTTCCTTTAGCCATGTGCTCACATCAGCTCTCTTCTGTAGTTGCGTGCTCAGCAGCAAGAACGACTCATTCATGCGATCAATTTCTTCCTCTATACATGACATCTGGAAGAGAAATAATGGTTGACGGTTCACTTAAATTAAAATTCTGTTTCATTTTTTATATTTTTACCTGCACTGGTGTCCCCTTTGGTGGTAAACCTAAAACAAACAAAAAAAAGAATAAAAATGTGTGTCTGGAATCTGTAGAATGGAAAATACAACAAAAGAAACACCAAACAATATGTGAATATATGAAGCACAAAACCACCCAATGCACTTCAGCCCTCAATATCATGGTTTTATGGAAACCTTGAACTCTGTGCACCAGGACACTGAAACAAAAGTCTTTTAGGTGCTTAACAGCAAAAACAAAACAGAAAATCTCTCCAAGACTTCATATGATACTTTAATGATGTTTTATGTTTTAAGTGGCAAAAATGAAATGAACAACATCTGCATGAAATCACAGATGGGCTTGTTCATCAACTTTTAGGGCTGGAATATTATTATGGTCATTGTTTCGCAAGACCGCTTGCTGATGTCACTGAGGCTTCATGGTCAAAAGTTTAAATCATCAAATCAGTCCATGCATAAGAAAATAGTACAAGACTGCAACAAATGTCCACAGAATTTCAGCTGATCAACACATGATGATGTTTTGTTCGCAGCTCCTTATACATTTTCCTATACTGACAACAAATGCCACAACTGTAATTTTTTAAATAAATTAATTTTGCAACCTTTAGCATATGAACTATTTTATTTATGAAGCTGGTGAAGGTCTATTTTCCCTTTACTTTTAGATAGTAGCTTTGCAAAGACCCCTTAATGTGATATTTATTGTTTTACAGCAATAAATGCACCGTGAAAATCCTGTGAGTATTTTATGTAATAGTAATTCTTTTTGAATTACTATTACAATCAACAGTTGTCATACCTTTGTCTGTGGTCTGAGCTGGAGTATGTTTGAGTTCAGAAATGAGCTGCTCCAGCTGGAAATATTTGTATTTCTTGAGTCTGAATTGGCAAAAAGGGAGAAATATTACATATTGTAATATAAATGTTTTGCTGAAATGACAAACCTCATTTATTCTGCTGTAATCGTTATCTGTCTCACCAACCTGCTAGCTAATAGGTGCTCAGTGAAGCGGGCTTCAGAGGGAACTCTAATGTTGAGAAATTCCTCAACTAATGTGTTATTCCGCCCCTTCAAAGCATCGAAATTGGACTGTTAAAAGAAGGCATAAAATGTTATCTGCCTCCATTTTTATACTATGAGAATGATGAGTGAGGTTTAAAGAGCACTTACACACCTCTGCTGTGCTCCATTTGAAAGAAACATTGAACAACTGAAGGCTTAGAGCTGAAATGGCCTCATGGAGTGCTTGCATAAAGCTCTGGGCTTTGGATCCTGGATTAAAAAATACATATACAAATCTATATTTCAGTGTTTTTAAAGAAGATTACATACTTTGTGCTTTCAAAGTTAATTGCCAGGGATATTACTCTGTACTATATGACAGTTGCCAAACAAGGACACGAGACTGTCCTTCAGAACTGACTTCTATTGGTTTTTCTCTGATTACCAGATGCTATGTGGGCCATTGACTGCAGGATGACAGAGATGAAATGTCCCACGTGCTGAAGCTTTGCCTCTGACAGATACAGGATTTGATTGGTCGCATCAAAATAAAAGTCCCTGGAGCAGTGTGACAGTAGACCCCCATTAGAGGAAGATGGAGCGAATGGAATCGACTTGGCCAGCAGGAGAAGAGCACTGGGGAACATGGGGCAGTTTTCAAGCAATTGCATCACCTGACAACCAAACAAAAAAATGGCAGAGTCCTGTGGGGAGAGGTTGTCCAGTGCAGTCGGGATGAGCTGCCCGTCATAATTCCCCTTTGCAGAATTATCTGCAACTCCTAAAAAGGAAAAAAAAAAGAGATAATTTTAGAACTTGGTATATGTTGCATTGATCAAATATTATGTGTGTTTTAGAGATCTCGCTATAATGTTTCTGTACCATTGCTAAAATATTGTTTTGACTCATCCATTGTGAGATTTTGTAAAGATTGTTGGATCTCCTGCAGGGTCTTGAATAGAGGTGATATCATGATAAGCTTGGACAGGTCATGATCACTTAAAGAAGGAGCTGTGCTCTGTATATGGTCTAGGACACAGAGAAATAACATTAGCAGAACACACTATAAACTGACCAGGCATAGGATTATGGACACCTGGTATCTGGATCAGATGTTAGTAACACATCTGTTATGTCCTGTAAGTTGTTTGTCCAACACAACCCAAAGATGCTTGATGCCGCTGTTGACTTGCCTCCCATAGTGCATCCTGCTGCCAGGTGTTCCCCTGGTAAGTGATGCACATATACGCGGCCATCATGTTAAAGAAAATATGATTAATCAGACCAGGCCACCTTCTTCCATTGATCGTGGTCCAGTTCTGATACTCGCGTGCCCATCGTTGGAGCTTTCAGTAGTGACAGAGGCATGGGTACCCTGACTGGTCTGCAACTGTGCAGCCCCACACAAAACAAACTGCGACGCCTGTGTAGTCTGACACCCTTCTGTCAGCATAAACTATCTTGACAATCTGAGCTACAGTAGCTAATCTCTTTTGTGATAACATGGGCCAGCCTTCCCTCCCCTTGTGCATCAGCGAGCCTTGGCTGCCCATGACCTTGTCACTGGTTCACCACAGTTCCTTCCTTCCCCCACAAGATCTGCAGTTTTGGAGATGCTCCAGAGAACGCATTCGTCTAGCCATCACAATCTAACACTTGACAGACTTGCTCAAATCCTTTTGCCTGCCCATTTTCCTGCTTCAAACACATCAACAAAATGTTCATTTGCTCCCATATCCCACCCACTAACAGGTGACATGATAAAGAGAAATAATCGCTTCACCTCTTGGTGTTCATAATATTATGCCTGATCAGTGTAATATTCTGATATTATTGTACATGCATACAAAGTAGTGATTTATTCCTTACCGGGCTCGTGTGGAAGAGCTCCTGCTTTGGTCACATTCACTGATGAAAACTGTGGATCATTGAGTGAGGAATTTACTCTCTACTTTATATCATAAATACACAATACAGAGAGAATGCCACTGCGGTACCTGCATCAAACACATGTTAGTGTCATTGGGTTGCATGTATCCAGCTTGCGCCTCACACTCTCTGGTATCGTGATGACCTGTGTGACAGTACAGGGGACCAGACAAATCCTGGTTCTGCCAAGCGTCTCCTGTCAGCCTGCATAAGAGAGTTTCCACTGACCTGACCAGAGCTCCCAGCAATGACATGCAGGCCTCAACTTGAATGATGGAGATGTTCAGTTACATACAAAAAAAAATTAAATTGTGACATAAATTTCCATTTCTCTTAATGCACAACAAGAAACAGCCAGCATGCTTCTGTGTGATGGTCCACAAAACACAACACAAACCACATATTATCATCTTTACACTTTGGTGTTTTATGCTAAGCTAAAGTAATTGTCTGTAACTTTACAGCTATGATACATGCATGTGGTTCTCAACAAGAAATGAAGAATTCACATTTCCCAGACTGACTAAATATCCCTTTAATGATCTATCTTATTATTAGAGACGGTCATTCATCTTCAGTAGAAGACATTACTCTCATCCTCATGATCATCATCATTTATTTTTACCTTGTGTATGTCTCTCCCCCACACTGCTGCCTGATGGTTCATCCTTCATTGTTTTATGAACTAATATCTCTTTAAGGAGGCTCATTTTTTTATGATCCATATTCTCCAAGGCATTCTGAAAGAAGGATAAAGAATTTTTATTCTGTTTCCTTGAGGGGAACAAGATTGCATTATTATGTATGTGTTATGTATGGACAAGGTAGTCCATAAGTTGTTCTTATTAATGGTTCATAACTGACCTATAAAGTGTGGTAAGTGATTTACTCAGCATTAATAAACAAAACAAAACAACAACAAAAAACATTAACTGAAACTTTAAATAAATGACTTCAACTGTTTATGAGAAGGAGCACTTCTTGGATTCAAACCGCTTCTCTTTGAGGTGCTGGTTTGATGGTAAACAAATAATAAAAAGGAGTTGGGGTATCAGTGAGAGCAGCAATGCAATGAGGCACCATTAATCAGTGTAAGGGGGTCTCACATGCTAGAGGATAAAATGGGACACAACCAGACTCCCAGCAAACATGGTTGCCTAGAGCATGGGTATGAAGTGTAAGGGCCAGAATATAAAATTAGTTTGACATTCCAGGTGTAAAGGATCCTATAAGAGTAGTCATTGTAAACATTGCTCAAATGTACTGCAGATGTTAATTTGATTTCACCTCTTAAAAGGAGTTTGCTATTAATCATTTTATTAATAAAAAAAAACGTATTTGCCGGCTGCAGGCTGTAGTGTCCCAGCTGCAAAGTTGTTTTTTTTTATTTTATTTTATTAATGGTAGAACAAAAAGACTATTTAACTGCTCTCTGAACTGTGTGAGGAGACAACCACACAGATATGGAGAGAACATGGAAAATATGGAAACTCCAGATGTCATGAGTCGCTGTGTGGCAGGCAGGAGTTGGACCCAAAATGCAGGCACTCAGGCATGAGGTTTAAACACAAAAAACTCAGCTTTATTTGCTGGCAGGGGAAAGTCATTAAAAAAAAGCAAACTAAAACTCATAAACAAAACTCACAGTGAGACAAAGGGCGATCCACACAGCACGAGGGACGACACGACAGTGACCGAGAGAAACACAGGGTTTAAATACACTGGGAAGTAACGAGGGGAATGAGACACAGAAGGAGAGCACAGCTGGGAGAAATCAGAACTGACGAGACAAGGAAGCGTAAACTGAACACACTGAGATAAGACAGAGACTTTCAAAGTAAAACAGGAAACACATAACACAGAGTGAACAAAAGACACAGACTCACATGCAGGCACTACAACAGAGGGAACAGAGACGTGGGACCAGGGCAGACACAGACGCTGACTGGACACGGGGATATAGCGGACAGGGGAGACAGCAACTAAGGATTACACAGAGTCAAACCATAAGACATGACTCTAACAAAGAAACCAAAGCATAGAAATGATAAATAATATTTAAACTCAAAACCCTGGCTCAACGGCCCAGGCATCCAACGGCCCATGGTGGATTTAAACCCAGTACCAGAGCCAACAGTGCTAACCACTACATCGCCCCTTTGTCCTGTTTCTAAGCGCTTCCTATCGAACATTCACTGTTCGATGAATGAATTGGCAATGACTTGGGGTCAGTTATTTGTCCAAGGATGCTTTGGCATGCAGACTGAAGCAACCAGAGACCAATCCAACAGTAAAGCAATACATCAATCAACCGATCAACATATGACCTGCCCTACCCTCAGGGCGACAGGCATCCCCACCTGATGGATGTTTTTTAGGTTTTGTACTAAACATGAACTGTGGTGGCAAGATAATTTATCCAACAGCTTTACTGGATTATTCCATGCATTATTTATTACAATATTAAAACTCACCTTGAATGATTCAGTGTGTTGACAGATGTTTCTATAAAACTCCTGTATGTCTTTGCGGTGCCGGGCCAGCTGTGAGGCTATATGGAGGTTCTGATCCTCCAGCTTGTCGTAAAGAGTCTTCACATTAAACTCCTCCAAATCACAGCACCCTGGCACTCCTCCTAAACAAGGCCAGTAAATGTCAACAATGGGAAAGATTGAAATGGCTTGAAAAAATAACAGAAGGGCCTCATCATGACATCTTTAAGATCTGAGGAGATGATCTTGTGAAGCATGAACGCACATTGAAATTATAAGCTCAGTTTGGCTCCATAGTAATTTAGTGGAGTCGGTCTAGCTTTCTTTAGTGGTAACAGCACAAGCCATTACAGTATGATATAAGCCATTATTTTCTTTATCGTCAATCAGATGTGGAATAGGCTGTTAACTGCTAGCTGGTCATGCGTGATGGTTTCATAATGGCTAGGCCAATTGGCATTTAAACGCCCAATCAAGCTGCATGAATAATGTAATAAGCGTCAACTGAGAAACATTACCGTCACCTCCACTATCAGAGATTAGAAAGAAACAAGGCAAATGTAGTGAAAAGTCGGCGAAAGGGAGCTGCCAAAGTTTGTTTTAGTGAAAGTTTTCTGGAAAACTTTTAGTTTTTGGTTATTGGCCAAGTCGTCCAAGAGGTACAGAAAATTTCTTTAGTGAATTTGATAAAACATAGTTGCAGTAAGTCATAAAAGTAAACTTTAAATGCATTTCAGACTTAAGTTTCATATACTGTGATACCATATTTAATTGAATACAAATTAGAGCATGTTTAGGCCAAAAAATTACTCTCCATCACAGTTACACATTTATTGCAATTGCTTGAAAACCTATAGATAGATAAAAAAAACAAAAAGCACTGGCACAGTATTAAACAAGGGGCTTACCTCCTTTTGAAATAGCAGGCTCCTCAGCTTCTGCTCCTTCTCCAACACCTCTACTACCAAGGAAATCACCTTGGTTTGGGACCACTAAGCTGAAAAACAAAGACTCGAATTTTGTTTATTTTCACTTGTTTAAAAGTGTTTTATGTATTTTTTAGAACACAACGTCAGCACTGCTGTCACACCAGTATACCTTTCTCTGCTGCATGCACACTCCACCGGACAGAAAGGCTCCCCGAGGCTGCGCCACTTTGGCTTTATCCTCCACTGGGAGACAAGCTTTGCTTTGCTAGGTCGCAAAACTAGTACTGTAGTGGTCAGAATTACGACCACAACCAAGAGCAGACTAAGGATCCCTGCACACAGTCAGCATTGTGTCATGGTGAAGGCTAATTCATTACAATAATACCCCTGTAAACAGTTAGTCAGCAATACAAATACCCACCAGCAATCACTCCCCAGTCGGGCAGAAGGTTTAGTTTGTGTTTCTTGACAATCCCGTGCTTGACCAATTGTGCTGGGGTCATGGGTTGAAACACAGCAGCCCTGGGGCCACACTCTGTCCCCTCCTCACTGACTACCACTACCAGACTCCACTGTGGGACAACACTGTCAACAAACACGTACTTCCCCGTTTCAGAAAAAACATGGGCAAACCTGGCAATGGAAAGATGACGAAGAGGAATACAAATTAGAACATGAGATGACGATACTGTGTGACCACAGTTATATGAGGATATGTTACCTTGAGGAGTTAAAGTTTGTTTGCTTCATGAGTATCTGTAGATGCCTAAAGGCACCAAAGTCCCAGCTGGGGTTGCTGTTAAACAGGTGGTCTTTTTGATAAACTGGAAAGTGGCTGAGATGGCGGTCTAAGAGAATTCAAAGTTAGAAGTAAGAGGACAGTGGTTTAAAAAAAAAGAAATCACACACTGTGATAAAACCATGGTAAAAGTAAAAACAGCTGTACCTGTGTGGTTGATGGTGAGATGAAAAATGAGCATGTCACCAGAGGAAAGACAGGCAATGGGGTTGGGGATTCGAGGTAAGACAGCCAGATCTGCTGTGTCTCTTCTATTTCTGGGTCTTGTTTTTAGGACTTCTATTGGCTCGGTGAAGAGATAGCATTGTGTCACAGATTGCACAGTTTTGTCAACCAATTAAAGCCAAAATGTTTACAGTTAATTGGTGGTAGATACAGAAAACAAACGGATTGCATGGCAAAAGAAAATATATCAATCAACATGTCAGCTCTAATCACCTGACAGAAACTGATTGATGACATCTTTTTGTGTGGGAATCCAACCAAACACTCCTTCAGAGTCAAACTGGACCAAGTGTGTTTTCCCAATATTCTTTAAATGGATATCTGGTCCTAAAATATTTGTTATTCTCTGAAAATAAAAGGAAATAACACAAACTAGAACACTAGAAAAGCGCATGTTATTTTGTATCTATTATGTTGGAGAGAAAACATATAGTAAGGAACAATTGTGCCATACTGTGTTTCTATTTTAACTATAGTTTTTCCAGTTGCTGATATTTGTCAGTTTTTATTTATATGTAGTGTTAAGTATGTGTTCCAATACACATTCACAGTAATGCCATGCTACACCTTGGTCACAATAATAAAAAAAAAAATCCTTAACTTGAGAAAAAGATATTTTTGTTGTTAGACAAATAACATGCACACTTACAGTACTGTGCAAAAGTCTTGAGACACCTTATTTCTTTATGTTTTATTAGGAAAATAGGTGCAGAGATTCAATTAAATTTTCAATTCAACTCAATTTTATATGCATGGCACCAAATCATAACATCAGTCACCTCAGTGTGAAAAACCTCAACAATCAAACAACACCCTATGAGCAACCATTCAGGAAGGAAAAACTCCCTTTTAACAGGAGGAAACCTCCAGTTCAGGCAGGAGCATCCATCTGCTGCAATTGGTTGGGGGTGAAACATGTACAAACATTAATGGAAATACAGTATAAAGCTGCTTTTGGCTGCACCCTTGTTACAAATGGGGTAGCTCTGCATATTGCTTGATTTGGCACAGTTTTATGCTTTTCCTGAATCAACCACAAAGCCAGCTACCTTTCACTTGCCACTACACTACACTACACTACATTACAGTAGATGGAACTTATATATACATTATTTAAGGCAAAAACGCAGTTTGTAGAATTCTAATGAACTTAAGTTAATGTTTGGCATGGCCACCTTTATTTTTTTAGAACCTGAACTCTCTTCGGCAAGATTTCCTCTTATTAAGAGTTGTTCTCCAGGCTTCTTGAAGGACATTCAAAGCGTGTCTTTGAATGTCTTTTGTTCTTTTCTCTGTCAAAATTGTCCCACACTGCCTCAGTAATGTTGAGGTCCAAGCTCTGGGAAGGAACGACACTGTGCCATTGTGTGGTTTTCCATCCGCTTTACCTGTTATGCTTTTACTGCATTGGCAGTGTGTTTGGGATCATTGTCATGCTGAAAAGTGAAGCCGCTGCCAAACACATACTTTCCAGGTGGTACTGCATGGTGGATCAAAATGTGACAGTACTTTTCTGCATGGTTCCATCAATTTTGACAAGATTCCAAGAGCACAGGCTGTAATGCAGTCCCAAACCATGACACAGCCTCCAACATATGGGACCTGCTTTATACAGTTTGACAAAAATTTGACGACAGCTCCAGTTCTTGTACAGTTTGGCATGTGCTTTTTCTTGCCGTTCCCTTCTTTGACTATGGTTTCTTGACAGACAGCCTTCTGCTGAGACCATGTCTCATGAGACTTCGGTGAACAGCACATGGATCAACTGAAGTGCCACATGCATTTCTCGGGTCCTGTGTCAGAACTTTGTTGGATTTTTTCCTATTTCTAAAGGAAATGACTTGAAGATACTTCATATATGCTACAGAAAGTTGTTAGGCTTAGCCCTTCTTTGTTGGTCATCCACTTGGTTCAGTTTCCTCATTTTTAAGGACACAGTGCATACCCTGCTTACATATGTCATGTTTTCAGCCAATAACTCCTTGGGAACTGGCATGTGCGTGCAAAAATTACTGTTTTATGCCTGTTAAACTGTTATCGTTGGGATCTTTCATAGTTTCAACCAAAGAAATAGGAAAACAATATATGTGTTTTTGTGACAGCCTGCGAATAACAAAGTGCCTAAAGATACAAAAAAAAAAAGGCAATGTTAAAATAAAACCCTGGAAAAACAGAAAACCTGGAGAACTCAAGCAAACTTTTAAAAATCACAAATCTGGCAAAATATAAAGAAACGAGGGGTGGCTCAAGACTTTTGCACAACACTGTATATATGATGAAACTCACGGAAAATGAAAAAACCTCTTGCTGGAATAACTTGGAATAACGAAATACTTTTTCTTTGATGGTGAGCAGACTTCACTATTTATCACTGTCACTTCATCATATGCAATGATATCACAAAATCTGCAGTTGCAACATTTTTTCACATCATGCTGAAACCTTGTTAAATGCTGTGCCAAGCTTTCTGCCTACTAATTGATGTAGCTAAACCCTACAGTGTGAGGAGTCGCTTGGCTGTGTCAGTACAGTTCTAATGTTGTATTTGTACTTGTTTTTCAAGTATCCCTCCTCTCATTCCTGCACACATTTAGAGTAACTGATCACTAATTATAAGAGAAATAATTGAATTGGATAGCTGGATATCCTTGCAAGGTGTAGCTGATCAACAGTTGTCAGTGGCCCATGTTAACCTTCCATCACCTTTGCCCAGACCATGCTATGGCTTTCTTTGATGCTGAGCAGCAGGTGTCCATCTGGTGAAAGCTGAGCAGAGAGCTGAGGCAGTCTGGAAAGGCAGGATGTATTGCAAAGCTCCTCAGCAGACACGTATCGCTCACACTGGCAGCTGGGGTGCAGATAAGGCAAGGGACAGAAAGGCAACATATCAGGCTGTATACCAGCTAGAATCCTAATTCACTTCTTTATTAGATGTAGCTTTAGTAGTTTTTACAGAGCAACAGTAAATCGGACTCGGCTTACATGATTTGGTAAAGGAAAAAGGTGATAAGGTGACTCACATGCCCATCTCCGCATCCAGAGTTCCTCCATGTGGTCCACAGGTGATACTGCAGGAGTGGAGGGACGGTGACACACACTCTCTGGATGCTGCCAAGCGCACCTCTCCTGTGGCACATCGTCTGTTCACCTGAAACAAACAAAAACTCAGACTTCCGAAAGGGCACACAAGGTTTTTGCAATATGTTGCATCATGTGTGACTGAACCTTCATTTACACCATAGTATAGTCTTCTATAGTCTTCTAGGCAAAACGTATTGCAAAGGGAGTGAGTCAAACTTCAAATCTTCACTGGATTTACTTTTTATTTTTTTTGGTTTAAAAAGTGGAAAGCTTTTCATGTGATTCATGAAAAGCTCTTTTTAACGTTAGACACATGAATGGTGTCTTGCAGGTGAGTCTACAGAGTTGCGCAGGAACAAAAAGAAAATTAGAAAATTTCACACTGTCAATATGTCTTTGAAGGTTCTCAGTCATCCAGGTCATCGTAGTCTAAGGAGCTTGGAAAGAAAAGCGTCTGGACATCCTTGAGTTGCTTGAAGACGTTTCACCTCTCATCTGAGAACATTCAGAACTGAAGAAGAAGCTTCTCGGATGAGAGGTGAAACGTCTTCAAGCAACTCAAAGAAGTCCAGACGCTTTTCTTTCCAAGCTCCTTAGACTTCACGCTGTCAAGTTGAAGTGTAAGTTTTTTGAGTCAACAAACGCATTATTGAGGAAAAAAATGCATAGTTTAAACCACATACCTTAATGGTTTTAACTGACCTCAGGCTGACAGTCCAATTCACTATCGGCAGTAGATATTTTAAAATCCAGCTCGTTATAGAAGATAAAGCCAGTTCTGCACAAACATGAACCATCTGAATACTGGAAAGCGCGGTTCTTGCCAATGCAGGTACAGGAAAAAGAACCTGAGAAAGCAAGTGACACACGGCATGGCAGTTTGTGGTCCTGATTTCCAACTCCTCGCAACAAAGTTTACTATAAAAACTTTTTAAATCAGTCTGTTATTTACTGCTCTAACCAGCTTGTGAGGTGGAGGAGCTACCACAGGGGAAGCAGGCCTTCTGGGCAGGCAGGTGGTTGAAGGTGTTTTCCAGACACAGGCGACAGTCATCCATTTTCTCAGCACGAGTGCGGTTGCCGAATGAGCCAGGTGGGCAGGATATCGGCTGAGTGGATCCCAAAGGGCAAACATAGCCAAGAGGGCAAGGGTTTTTCTTGTAGTTGTCTGCACCTGTTGCATTAAATGTGTATGAAATGAGAAATACTGTACAATTGAGATCATTTAGGATGATGAAAAATTCCTGCCAAAACGTATATAAAGTACCTGGGGGGCAGAAGTATCCTGGTGGACAAGGAAGGCATTGCAGAATGGAGGCTAGAGATGGACGATAGGTGCCCCCCTCACACACAATACAGCAGCTGTTTTTGGACCCTCTGAGCCCACTAGTGTTGGCAGGCATAGAGCCGCCTTCGCAGGACTTCATGGAAGAGCTGTTGGCTGGGCAATAGTATGGAAATGGACAGCTGTGGAGCATGGTAACAGGGTTATTTATAAAGCTTTAAACCACATGAAGTAGAATCAGTCAAAACCTATCAAGCTTTCATCATTTAAAGCCTCTCATTTTTTATATCACACAGAGTGGACACTTGCCTTTGTGCCAGATTTAGCTTGTTAGAGCTGTCGTGTACTCACAGTTGTTTGGGGCTGTTGTAGGAATGAGATCCTTCAGGGCAAAAATAACCTTCTGGACAGGCTTCAGGCTCAGCAGTTTGGGGTCCACAGTACGATCCAGCTCTGCATGGCCTCTCTGAAACCGCACCTAGATTATGATCAAACACTTGTTACAACACTCACTGCTATGTTTGGAAAGGAAGGAATTTCAAATGGTTCAGACATCGCATCCAGAGGCTAAAATGAGCTTTCACATAAAACTATTCTGACAAACCCACCAACAGGACACTGATAGGAAGCCCGACAGGGTATCCCTTCAACGTTGGGTTTTCCTGTATCCTGGGGGTGTGGGCAGAAGGTTCCCCCTGCACAGAGTTCACACTGGCTGGGTGCAGCAGCTCCCGGAAGCTGCCTCATGGTGCCTGCGGGGCAGAGGATGGGAAGCCCAGTCCCACTACACCAGAAGCCAGGTGGGCAGGGATGTTTGGAGTAGTCTGTCAGCCCTACAACAACAACCATTTTCTAAAAACAACAAATCACTATATAGTGTGACAGATATATGAACCACAAAGCTTGCTAAAATTATTAAAGTTTTTTTAATAAGCCTTCCCACAAAGGCAGCAAAGGCAGCAAAAGAAAGGACCATAACAACCTGCTGCACATTATCCACTAGCTAAGGCAACAATATGATTTAGTGTCAACCATAAAGTTTTGTGAGAGGACCAGAAACAAGGTTGTTGTTTTTTTATTTGAAAATTCAGTGCATGTGGCCTCATGTGACGAGTTAAAATTCAATGCCTTCCCTCACATCATATTTCTTTCATTCATAGTTTAGGCACAACTATGATAATGTGCACCATATACTGTATACGGACATTAATGCAGTCTTGAAAGGAGCTGGCTTTGAATTGCCCTTGCAGATGTGCATTAAAACCCAACAGAGAAAAAAAGATTACAGATGTATTTTAAAATGTATTACAGTGCACCATACTGTAGGCACGGGGTATAATCAGAACTGAATAACAGAATGGAATAATGTGTAGCTTTTACAGGGAAGGAAAAGGAATCTGTTACATTTATAGATTAAATTTGAGTTCATCTTTTAAAACATGAGGATATGGCGTATCAGACCTGTGCTGTTACAGTGTGAACCAGGTGGGCATGGCAGGCAGTCACCCTTGCTGTGTGCTCCAGGAGTAGCTCGATAAGTGTAGAGAGGGCATGGCCTGGCACCAGTCCCTCCAACAAAGTCGCCACCAGGCAGACCATCACAGTAATGACCAGCAGGACACAGATGAGCAACTGGGTCTCCTGCAAGCAAACATCACAAAAAGTTGTTTAGGAGGAAAACAGGTTTCTGATACTTGGTATATACACGAACAATTTTTATGCTACAAGAAGAGATCAGCCTCTCCTATTCTCTTTCATCAGATCAGAAAATTTAAGTATCTTGATTAAAATTTTGTATTTTTACCCTTAATACTTGATTAAAATGGCTACAAAACTTCACTCAGTTCATACCAGATTTGCACCAATACTGGGGTGGGCAAGGTAAGCAATCCTGTAGGCTGGCACCTCCTGGGGAGCTTCTGATGGTATTTGCAGGACACAACCGAGCCTGTTTTGTGCCTTCGGGGCAATAGAAACCTAGAATAAAGGAAACATTTGGTATTTAACAATTTATTTAGCTAAACTACAGAGAATAAAAGCATTAACATTGATTTGTTGGTAGTTTCTTCTACATTGTTAGTTTTTAAAATTATATATCTTTCTCTCTATATATGCATATTGCACCTGGTGGACACGGTCCAGCACACTGCACACCCCACTGGCACTGGGTTAAGTTAAACACTGGTCCCTGAGGGGTGAAATCTGTGCTTCCAGAAACGCAGATATACCCTGCAGCACAAACACCTTGGATCTTACCACCCCTAAGGAAACATACAGTTAGTTAATCAGTACATAAAACCACAAGATTCAGTCCATGCAGACAGAAACATATGCCTATGCACACATAATTAATTTAGAAGAATCTGAAACGTATGCTCCATTTAACAAATACAAAGATAATAACATCATCTCTTCTGGTTTAATGTTTACTCTGAGTTGATTATGATCATGCATATGAAGGCAGTCATTTAGTTTTGGCAGTGAACCGTGGCTACTGATCATGACATACTTGTGCATTCTGATGTGATAACAGTGAGTGTTTGTCTTTGAGCACTGTAACTGATGATTACAGTGTTCAAAGAGTTGGTCATGACAGGAAGGGCAGTGGAGATACAATGTATGTTAAATGTTAAACGCATCATCCGCTGTAATTTGTGATGCTTTGCAAAAGCTTAATTACTTGGAAGTAATTAAAAATGGCTAAGAGAACAATTTATGAATAATTTATAAGTTATTAAAATTAAATCTGTAAATTTATGTTACTAGGTCTCATTCTTTGAAAATCTTAAGAACCAGCAATTTTATATCAGAATCAGAATACTTTATTAATCCCTGGGGGAAATTATTTATATTTATTATATGAGCTATGCATTGGTCATATAGAGTTAATATAATGCATGATGTTTAGCCTGCATGCCAACATTTTTAACATAATGACAATTAACATAATGGACGTTATTATAAAGCAATATAGGATTTCTAGGAGAGATGATCGATGAACAAGGCTAACCTACAGAGTTTTAAGAAAGAAATGTCCAACTCCGATCTGAAAATCCAAATAAGATCCATTTAAAACCGCAATAACCTTTCTGAATTATTGAAAGAGATAAAGTTGCTGTCGTGCTCCATGTTTTAATTAACTCAGTTAAAATTATCAGTAAAGCTGATATTGCTGGGTATCTTAATGAACATTTTCTATCAGCTAGTTCTGTTTTTAATGAAAATGTGGTCTCAGAGTTCTAATTTGAATCCCATGTCTTTTTCATCTATTACCTCCATATCAAAAGAACCCATTTGTCTTTAGATCAATTTCTTCAAAAGGTTTGAAATCCATTCATCCAAAAAAGTCATCTGGACCTGCCAATCTGATTCCCCGTCATCTAAAGCACAGCTGATGCAACTGCTGAGCCTGTTCCTCATATTATTATTTCTCCAGATTTTAGGGTGATTTAGTGTCCAGACTAATATTGCTCTAAAATCTGTAAAGCAGCCTATGTTCTCCCCTTCTAAAAAGTTTCATTTTAAATAATTATAGCTAAACTTTCCACTCTTGTTAAAACTCTGGTATTTGCAATAAGCTCTTTGATGGCTTTAGATCAGTTCATAGTACCATAATATGTGTGGGTTACAAATTATGTTGTTAATGCATTTTTCTGCCTTGTTTGTTGATCTATCCAAGGCATTATATTCTCTTAGTCAAACTCGGTTCTCTGGGCCAAATCTTATTTAGAAGCTGAACTGGGGCAAAATGGAAAGGTACTGAAGGCATATACAACTTTTAGAGCAACATATGGTACCATCCAGATTTTGCTTTTTGTTTTTGGAACTGGGGTTTATGGTATCTGGTTCGATAGTGTATGTATGCTGTTATGTTCATTTATTTATTTATCAATAAATATTTTTAATTTGTAAATTTATAATTTTGTATTGGTGTGTCTTCTTGGCGTGGTCTCCCTTAAAAAGAGATTTTATTCTCAAGGGACTTACTGTTAAATAAAGCATAAATAAATAAAATAAATAAATATGTCTGTATACACAAGGTGTGCATGGGATTAGCTGTATGTTTATCTAAGTCAGTGCACTGTTTCTGAATATTTGAGGGTGCAAGACGTGCATGGGACTGTGTACCTGCAGAACTTTCCTGGAGGGCAGGGTGAACACTCTCTCTCTTCCTGTAAACCTCCCAGATCTGAAAGGGTGTATGTCCCATTAGGACAGGGCTGAGGTACCATTGTTCCTAGAAGAAAAACAAAAGGTGGGATAAAACAAAAGCCTTTATTGGTCATCTCATCTTGATTTTGAAATAAACCAAGTGGATTAACATTCTTGTCAAAAGAAAGACATGAGACTAATATTGGTCTCATGTCAATGAATATGTCAGTGAGCTATAAATAAAAGTTTAAATCTTTTATTGTCAAGAGCTTCTTTTCAGCATACCTGCAGGGCAGAATGAATGTGGTGGGCAGGGTAGTGGATCTCCCACTATGGCCTCCTCACAGTAGAAACCAGGTCTGCAGGGAATGCAGCTGTCTGATCCCTGGTTAGGCTGGTACTCTCCTGTGGCACAAGGCAAGGCCATGGAAGAACCTTGCAGACAGTGGTGGCCCTTAGTTGGAATGAAAAAGGTGAAGGAACATCAGAGAAGTGGCACCCAATTTAGCAGAAAATTGATATTAAACTACGTGGCACAACCATTTATTACACATATGTCTGGAAAATAATAGAGAAGACATGGGGAAGTAATTCAGTTGGAGAGAAGTCTATATGTTCAACCTTACCTTGGGACAGAGGAATGCATATGGGGTAGTTGAAGAGAAGTCAAAAGGGCAGTAGAAACCAGCAGCACAAGGACCACTGGGGCTAGCCAGACCGTCTGTAGAGCAGTAGTGGCCAGCAGGACAGGAAGAACAACTCTCCATGGACACACCTCCTATGATGGGTGCACAATAGATAACAGTCAGAGAATATTGTGAAGGAGATAATGGGAAGCAGACAGCATGAGATCAGAAGTGGATCTCTTTTAAATTCAAATTCAGCAGCATGGAAATGCCTTTTCATGACATGTGCAAACATTACTGAAGTACCCGTGGAGTTGCGAATGCTGCCAAGAGGGCATGGAATTGGAGAGAGGCACCCTGCTGGACAGTAGTGGCCCACAGGGCAAGGGCCATTCCTGGGGAAGTTTTCAGAGCTGTGAGGGGCTGGTTCCATAGCTCCACCATGGCAGAAATAACCCTGCAAACATAAACCTGGATGGAAAAAAAGAAAAGAAAAAGGTGACACTACCAGTTTGATGCCATGTGAGGATGCAGATGTGAGTATTTTGCTAAAAAGCCAAAGTTTTGTTAAATCAGAATTTTAATCTCTGTTCACCTTGTGGTATGGAGGCTCCATATGCGCCACAGTACAGTCCAGAGGGGCAGGGTGTGCAGGCAGAGAGCGTGTGGGCACCTGTCTGATTGTTGAAAGTACCTGAAGGGCAGGGCTGAGGCAGGGCTGTCCCAGCAGGACAGAAATGACCTAAAGAGAAAGCAGTTACTTTATGTTACTGCAGAAATACAAATTCGGACAATACTGTTGCTATACCTAAAAGTTTAAAAATATTTAATTTGTGACTGACTTAACGTTTATTTTTACCATCCTCACCAGAGGGGCAGGCGGAGGGCTCTTTAGTGGCTGACGATGGACACGTGGTTCCTTTGGGGCATAATAAGCAACGGGCTGCTCCCGGGGCAGGACTGTAAGTGCCAGGCTCACAGGGCTCCTCATGTGCTGAGCCAATAGGACAGCTGTGGCCAGCAGGACAGAGGTAGCCATGGGGACCATTGGATGGAGTGGGACTGGAGTTGCCGCCCAAGCACACATACCTGTAGGCACAAACAGAGGAAAACAAACTGCGTATAGATTTTGGCACAAGCTGCCACTAGCAAAACTGTAAGTGAGGGGAAATCATTCAGCCACAATTTCAAATTATGTTTTGTGTGTGTGTGTTTCTTGTTTTGCAGTACGGCAGAGTGCAGCTCATGGCACAAAGTCTGGCTTTATTAATTCACTCAGGTTAAACTGAATGAAAAAACAGAAGCCCTTAATAGCTAGCAGCAGCCAAGAAAAACGTATCTGAATTGTTTTGTGTTTTAATTTTCCTCCACAATATGCCTAAATGTTCCAGTCTTCTTATTTACAGTCTAATACCAGAAGAGAAAGAAACCAAACTATTGGCAGACACTGAAGTGATTGGAAGACATTAAAAGGCCTTTAAAAAAAGTCACTATCCACTCTGAGAAAGAGTGGATTTGAAATTGAAAAGTAGAAGAGTAATAGTAGTGTTTACCCAGCCTGACACGGGAGCGCTTGTGAAAGCTCTGCTATTGCAGGACTGTCACAAAACAGTCCAGGGGGGCAGGGTGTGCATTCATCAACTCCCTTTAGTCCTTGAGCGATGGAGAAAGAACCAACAGGGCAGGGGAGTGGATAGCCAGTGCCTGCAGGGCAGTACAGGCCAGGTGGACAAAGATGACTTCCAGACGAATTTCCCTGAAAAAAGTAAGAAAAAGTTTTAATTATCTAAATAAAAGAATTAAAAAAAAAAAAAAGTGTATCATATGTGATACATGACTTTTTTACACCTGTACATCATCTGTGTGATTTTTGTTTTTCCATACATACAATCAGACACATGCCGTCCTACTGTGAGCAATAAATTGCACATTGTTGCATTATTTAATGTGTCACTAGATTAAAAAACACTTCAGTTTCCAAAAAAAAAGGATTTTATGACAATTTATTGTGGTTTAGGCTTTACAGGGTTAGAGTAGAAGAATGTATTTCACTGCAGAAGGTATCCTGGAAATGTGGCTCTTTTTCTTATAGTGTCTATCACACCTGATGGTACCACTGGAAGACCATTTATGACGTGCCAAAAAAGAGTTTTTTCTTCACAAATAAGATAATACTAAGTTAAAGGTTGAAGGTCCCCTAAAATCATTAGGTAAATTTTACTGGCCAGCATCACAGAGGACAAACATCACCTGATACTCAGTAGAGTTTGGACTGGTTGATCCAGCAGGACAGTAGTATCCTGCTTCACAGAGACCTGTCGGCTGGGATTGCCCAGACTGAGAGCAAAACATTCCTGCAGGCAACATAAATAAAATAAAGTCATCATAACAATAATTAGAAATAAAATAAGCTGTCATACTGGTTATGGTGAAGCAAAGTGTTTTTATGTACCAGCAGGGCAGGAGAGACAGGTTTCAGGACTGGACGCTCCGAGGTGGTTCTGCACAGTCCCAGGTGGGCAAGGGAACTCCAGTCCTAGAGTCAGACCTGCAGGGCAGTAGTGACCAATAGGACACAGCACAGGCTGGACAGTAGCTTCACCTGAGCCACATTAAGAAAAAGAATAAGTACACACATTATATTTTCTTTTTCTTCTTCTTCTTCATTTTGCTGCTAACATATTTCCTCTATTCCTCCTTTGCACAACCCAAACCAACTCTCAGCCTTGCCTCTCTAACCTTGTCTCCAAACTACTGCACCTGAGCTGACTCTCTGATGTACTAATTTCTAATCCTGTCCTCCCTCCCAGTAAAATCTTAGCATCTCTAGCTCTGCCACCTCTGCCTCCTGACTTTTTGTCAGTGCCACCATCTCCACATCATACATCATGGCAGGTTTCACTACCATTTTGTAAATCTTCCCTTTTACTCTTGCCTCTGTCACAAATCCCCTGACATGCATTTCCACCCACTCGACCCTGTCTCTTCTCTTCTTCACTTCTCTCGGGCACAGAGATGCAATTAACAAAGAAATTTAGCAACTTTGGAAAGTCTGTGTTGTGTAGTTTTAAATGTCTTAAGACGTCAATAACTAAAACAATTTTGTGATACTGTGAAACAATGTCTCAGTTAGTTTGGCTGAGGCAAAGAGACTTTGGATAAGCTCCTCATAATTATAAAGCTTGCTCTGATTATTATAATCATCCAAGAAGGACTTTAAAGAATCACCAGTGAACACAAGTGAATTTGATCTTGTAAATATTTTGGTAGCAAAGTATGGTAATGGATTCCTCTCTGGATTACTGCTGATCCCTGCAGGTAAATCCATGTTTCCCACCTTGACAGTAGTATCCAGGGGTACAGATGGTGCAGTTGTATTGATGCGTGTTGCCCGTTTGAGAGCTAAATGTTCCTGCAGGACAAGGCACCGGTGCTGGTGTTCCACTGGGGCAGAAGAAACCAGCTGGACACACAGCCTGATCTGCTTTGCTGGAGCCCCAGTCACAATAAAAGCCCACCCAGCAATCACCTAGAAGACAAGAGATTAAAAGAAAAACAAACTTCTATACAGAAATTTACAAGTTACAATGTGTTGTTCAAAGATTTATGCACATAAAAGTTAAATTATTACAGCTGACATTTTGGGGGGCCTTTTTACAGCTTTATTTGAAAGGATAGAGTGAAGAGTGACAGGAAAATAGAGGGAGACAGAAAGGGGAAGACATGCAGCATATGGTCACCTGCTCATCCCAGTTAGCTAAACCGGCGCCCTGACAGTGCCATTCTGGGATTTTCCTACAGCATGATATGTGCTACCATAGAATATTAATATTTTAATAAAGATTAAATAGAGTTCAAATGAATAGATTGAAGTAGCAGAGATATTGCTGATCTTTCTCTCTGACTCTAACAGACCACTAGAGGTACTGCAAAGGAAAAAGGCTGTGATCCACAGTTGAAGTGAATAGTCCCAGTAACATGTGAATATGTGCTGTTGTCTCAGTTTAAGTACAGTGCCACTGGGGGTGTGGTTCCCCTATAGGAACATGTAAAGTGTCATTAAAGGATATTAAACAGATCCTTTGCACTTTAAAGTAGCCATCTGGCCATTTAGAAGATTTAGCTGTACAGACAGAGACTCTTAGTAAGATCATTTCATTGCTTGTGATGATAAGAATAGAAGAATAGAATAGAATCATCTTTAATTGTCCCACAAGGGGAAATTTGGTTGTAACAGCAAGAAGAAAAACACATATACAAACAAACAGGATACAGAAACATACACAATTTTCTTACATATTTACATCAAGGACAATAGTTATCAACTAATTTAGTCAAAACACTCTCACTGTATCTAATTCTATTATCCAATAAATCTACCTGCTCTGAGACCTTGCTGGCAGAAAATCCCAGGTGGACAGAGAGATCCAGTTCTGTTGTCAGTGGGGTTTGGCACTTTGGCACCCGTCAGACAAAGAAACCCAGCAGCACACGATCCTGAAGGCTCAACCAGACCTTCAGAGCCACAAAACTGCCCTGCCGGGCATACTAAGCACTGACCTGCAAACACAGACAATGACAGATTTCACTTCACTTCTAACAGCAAAACAAGCTCAAGATCAACCAGCACAGCTCTGAGGGTGCTGCATGTGGCTAAAGGTATCAATGTGTGAAGTAAACTATGTTAGAGGGCACTAGAATAACACAGCAGAAAGACCGAAGTAACAAAATGCATGTAAACATTCACTCAATGACTCAATGTAGTCTTTGATTTTTGTTTTTAAACTATGAAAGGAAGAACAGCAATACTATTGTGCATCAACACAACTCAGACCTGTTTTTGTATTTTTCATATGATAAATAAGCTAAAACTAGAATATCCTATTTGTTTCTGTATATTTTTGTATCTAATATATAATAATTCCTTTCATATTAATTTCTTTAACAAATGCATTTCCAGATATGCAAATTATCAAAAGAACCTCAGGTCTGAATAATAGTTGATTAAATTACCATAAATCATGTGTCTGAATCAAGCATTCATTGCCATATTTAGACTTCAATCTAAATTAAATAAATACAACAACTAGCCATGAATGCAACATAACTGCACTTGTCTCTATTTCCTATAAAAGTTCTGTTATTTTACCTGCACTAGTGAGACCCTGCAAGGGGCTGTAGCTGCCTTTGGGGCACGGGAGTGGCTGATTGTGTGGACTCTCCTCCTTTGGACAGAAATAACCAGCTGGGCAGGGCAGAGGGCTGGAGACTCCGGCAGAGCTCCCTCTGGTGGGGCTGGGATTCAGAGGCTGGCAGTGGAACCCAGGGGGACAGGGATTACACTCGTTCTGCCCTGGCAAATCCTGGAACCAGCCTGGAAAAGACATTCAGACAGTGAGGATATCGTCAGAAATGTCAGTTTTGTGTATTAACATTTTGATTACCAAGAGGGCATGGTTTGCAGTCATGTTTGCTTTTTCCTCCAGTCTTATTTTGGTAAAAACCAGGCGGGCAAGGTGAGGGGGCACTGCTGCCCTCTGCACAGTAGTGGCCTGCCGGACAAACACCTCCCGATACACTTGACATTGGAGTAGCAGACTGGGATCCCTCTAAGCAGTAAAAACCTAGCAGTAGAAACATTTAAATGTGTTCAAGTCAAGCAGGATAATAAATCATTTGACATAACATAATAATGAGCATCACTTTTTACCTGGCGAGCAGGGTCCAGACACTTCCGAAAGGCCAGGCTGTGAACAGTAAAAGCCAGGTGTGCAGCCTCGACACAAAGAATGATCAACAATGCCGATCTGCTCACTGAAAGCAGAGGTGGAATTTGAATTGATCATGGGTCATCTTGACTGTAAATGGATTTGATTACATATGAAATAATTCAAATAATACTAAAAGGCACACAATGGGCACTATTTAGCCACCAATATTGGACTATTTGTGTTGTTTTACATCTTCAGATCATTCGATGTTTATGGAGGTACTGAAAGATGTCCACCTGAATGTTCCTTTTGGGCATGGTTGTGGTACAGATGTGCCTGCAGGGCAAAAGAACCCAGGCGGGCAAGGGAATCCTGTCACATTGTCTAACGGTGAAGGTTCACTGGCTCCCTCGGCACAAACAAACCCTGCAGCACATTGCCCAGTGGGGGTAGTCCTCCCTTCAAGCAAATATAATTAACAGAGTAGAAAAGTACATATATTTTTTCAACAATACATCAATACATTTAAACAGCAGTTGTCTGCAAGAAAGATCTGTTGAACGAAACAAACATGGCCAGAGAAATGTACCTGTTCCTCTGCAGTACATCCCGGGGTCACACTGTAAACACTGCCATTCCTCAACCAGTCCTGATATGTTTCCATAGGTCCCGGATGGACAGGGATGCTGATATGCTGATCCACTGGGGCAATAAAACCCTCTCTCACATGGAAGTGGAAGAGTCGTTCCTGACGAGCACATTTCAAATAGGAACATTTGCAATCATTTCTTAGAAAACTCGCCCCAGTTAAAAGGTTACATCTGGGCTCCAGCAGCTAAATGCTTTGTCGTTCCATCAGCTTTACCTTGCTCTTTACAACAGAAACCAGCAGGACACGTCTCGCAGCCGGCTTGACCTCGTCTGAACTGGTAGGTGCCAGGAAGGCAGGCTGTCTGTCTGGCGCTACCCTGAGGAAACCATCAGAATCATTTTATTAGATGTTATATGCGGAGAACAACATGTATCATCAGTTGTAATCGTAGTGCAACAATATCAGTGGACAGAGTCACAGCACAGGGACTCGGATGAAACACCAACCTGCTATATTAATGCACTAGTCATGAAAAAATAACAGAGCTGAGGAGGGGGGGTTATGTAAAGACATCACATGCAATATTCATTGATGACTGACAGTAGCTTGAAGCCTGACACTACACGGCTGACCTTCTCACAGTAATGACCAACTGAGCAGGCATGTTGCTGTGGTCTTTCAGAGATCTGTCCCTCAGGACAGTAGTAGCCTTCTGCACAGGGGCCACTTGGCTCAGCCATTCCTTGCTGGTGACAGTATTGACCTGGAGGACACAGCTGGCAAGCCTCAACAGTGGATCCACCAAGGGAACCTGGTGGATAATGTGCACATTGTAGTTAAACTGTTTATCTAGGAGTGATGGTGACGCATTCGTGCGCGTAAGGGTGTGATAAATTAAGAAATCTGAATTTTAATGAAATGAGCAACATAAATTGATTAAGAAGACAAAACTGTTGTTTTGCACACCCACGTGCACAGGGCATTTGAAGAAAAAGAAAAAGAAAAAGACTTTTAAAAAAATCACCATATCACTTTGTAATTAAAGCCTTAAATAGATTACAATGTTATTTCAATGCAAAGTGCATCCCAAGTCCCTCATCAGTTTCTAATTCATAACTGTACAAAGGAGCTACAGCATATACTAATAGGATTCTAGTTGTCTGCCGCAAGACAAGAATACAATTACACGATTAAGCCACTTTGTGACTGCAATTATTCATAGGCGCCCAAGGGGGAAAAAGTGCTTCGGTGGAAGTTTTCATATTTTTCCACATGACTGAGCTGCAAAGGTATACACCAGTTCAAACAAGGACGTCAGTGGGAAAACTGATGATGTTCGGAGCAAAGGGGATTAGGTTTTGTTTTTCTCAGTTTTACTATTTTGATTGCGTACTCATTCATCATCAATTCATGGCCTGGGTACAAGCCAGGGATTACTGATTTGTCCTCAGTTGCTTCTCCTTTTTGATGGAAGAGAAATCACAATGCACAAGCTTCTCTTTTGTTAATGAAATCAATAAATGTACTCAAAGAACAATGTATTTGTTATATTACTCACAGATTACAGCTACATAACAAAAGTGCAACAGCTCACTTTTTACAGTTCCCAGAGGGCAGGGCAGAGGAAGCTGGGTTCCAAGGGGGCAATAGTGTCCTGTGGGACAAGGGTTGGCGTGGGGTTCAGAAGAGCCTCTAGGGCAGTAATATCCAGCTGCACAGGGTCCTGCTGGAGCCTCTAGGCCAGTCTGGTTGCAGTAAGAACCAGCCTCACAGGAGTGAGGGTAAGCAGAGCCCATAAGACAATAGAAACCTGAAAAAAATCAGCCAGACATTGTCCCTGAAATGATAACACTTCAACAAGAGAAAGTTTCCAATTAACTAAGTGATCCCTCCAGGGACAGAGGGTTTTCTCACTCTCAAACTTTTATTCTCTGCTTCTTCTGTTTCACACAACTACCCTCACAGATTTTCCTTTACGTTTGAAGGAATGTTATTACTTGCAAATCTGTTCTTTTAGGCTCGTATATCAACAGTGTTACTTTTATGTGCCTCACCACCCAGCCATCTGCAGCTCTTTATCGCCCATTCGCTCTACTGTATTGTAAAGTCACCTTGTTATGTAAAGTGACGGGAGATGGAAATGAAGTCTATTTAAATAAAATCGAATGCCCTTGCCATTGGTTTAAGGTGGGGAATTTGAACCTTTCAGAGTGAGATTTATTTGGGGGGTTTTGTGCTGCCACTAATGTTTTTTTTAGTGCGCTTATTTGACAAACTATATTTCTCTCCTTATTTATAGAGCAAGCCATTAAACACTAAAACTAAGCATTCATCATTCAAACCACTTTAATGTGATTTAACATTTCAGCCATCATTTTCTGACCGAGTCGCTAAATAAACCGAGACTAAGCGGGAATCAAACCAAATTACATCACACAACCTGCACCAATCAGATGAAGTAAGTTGTGTGTCTTACCATTTTCAAAAAATTAGGCTATCATGTCTGAGCAATGAAGATAACTAAAGTATCACATTAAGTGCATAAGTTCACTGCCAGGATTTACCCACCCCTAGGGCATATATCTCCTCTGTAGGTGGAACACGCATACTGTGGCGTCTTGAGACTCGGCGGTGAATCAGTCACAGTCTGATCTAAATCTTCCCGTGACACTGCTGCTGCTTTGATCCCACTAGCATCTCTCCCTGTAACACAACATGGCAGATAAAGCATGAAAAATTGTTGAGTTATAATCTTTGTCTACCAGACAGGACGCCAAAGAGGAGCCTCCTTTTTTTTTCTCTACAATGCCTAATAAACCATTTTGTCAGGGGCGGACAATGTAACATTGTATGGCAATGATTAATTGCAGAATACTTAAGGTCAACCATGAAAAGCCACTGTCTTGTGGGATATTTATCACTACTTCTAAAGCTCTGCACTGTGGTAGACCAGTTTGAGCAAAGTGATGTACTGCCCTTATAAACGACGCATATGGTGTCTTTACAAACAGGAGAACACTATATTTTATCAGAATTACCTGAGTTATTAAAGCAGGGCAGGTTTTGCATCCAGGTGGCGTTCGTCCTTATGGTGGAACCCTCTAGTATTTTCAGAAGACAGCTGGACAAAGATGAGTTAGCTCGAGGTGTGGGACTATCTGCACCTCCAGAACAGAAGAACCCCGCAAAACACAGACCTAACACAGAGAGGAATTAGAAAAGACTCTGAAGCAGCTGCTTATGAGACCCCAAAAAGTTGTTATGGGCAGAAATTCAGCAGACATGACTAATGGGAGCTGTGCAACTCCTGAATCTGCACTTAGAGTACTTGAGGTAAAGCTGAATAATAAAATATGGTATTAAATAGACAATTTATAACAGTCTCATGACTGGTCTAATTCTCCACCTGTGGGCTGTGAGGCTCCAGGATTCAGGCAGTATTTCCCTGGGGGACAAGGACGGCATTGGGAGAGAGAGAGTGCGCCGAGCTCGGGAAAGAAGCTGCCAACAGGACAGGGTGTGGGAGACCCACTTCCCTGAGGGCAGAAATGTCCCATGGGACAAACATCTCCATAAGTCTGGGAGACAGGAGAAGGCTCAGTGGATCCCGGGGAACAAAAATGTCCTGTAGTAAACAATGTGGTTAGACAACTCACAGAGGACGCTGAAACATTTACAGTTTAAAACATTGTAGGAAAACTGAGTTATTCAGTGCAAGCCACAGCTTAACATAGCACAGGCATACAGCAAAGATATAGAAAATCCAATCTTTCAGTTGTCTGACAAGAATTCCCAAGGTGATTATGGGCTGTCAGACCTGGGCTGCAGGGTCCAGACGGCTCTGTCAGAGCGCTGCTGTTACAAAAAGAGCCAGAGGGGCAGGGGGAGCAGTCACTTAGGGACGTCCTGCCAGCTGATGGACTGACGTGGCCGATTGGACATGGAGATGGCACGGAGGAACCTTTCAGACAGTAAAAACCTAGACAAGGTAGCATGTCTCATTTAATAATTAACATCAGTTTAAACATCATCTGTTTGTCTCTTTATAAAAAAATGATATAAAAATAACATATGTGTCATTTTTGCATTACCCGCTGGACAGCTGTTACAAGCCGGATGTCCAGACAAGGACTGAAATGTGCCAGGAGTACAGCCAGTCGGCTCCGCGCTACCACGCGGGCACGCATAGCCAGGTGGGCACTGGTGACCTGCCAAGCACATAATGAAAAATCCAAACTGTCATTGTTTACAATGAAAACAAAATTTGAAAAAAAACAAAAAAAACAGAAAATGATAGTGCTGCCATGACACATCCTCTTAATTTCTTTTATGTACCAATTATGCATGAAATAAGCACATCTGGTGTATTTTCCCAGGCTCAGTGTCCATGGAAACAAAGCAATGAAAAGGACAGTGGCTCTTATCAGTATTACCGCTGTACAACAATCCTGTGGGAGGAAAGGAGAGCAGAAAGCGGGCTCAGCAGCAGGTGCTTTGTCTTGACAGACATGAGCTTGTGGCTATTTATAGGTTCTGCCCCATTTCATGCTCAAATTAGCAAAACATCTTTATAATAAAAGGTAAAAAGGCAACAAAGAATCTTTAGGTGCACGTGTAATATAACAGGAGAAGGATAGTTTATGGGCGGGATAAAAACCGAGCATCTTTTACTATGTAGATTATTACAGAAGCAAGCCTCAAAGTAGAACGTTATAGTTAAAATGACAGACAAAAGAGCTGATTCTAGTTAAATGGCAAATTTAAACGTGTAAAATGAAAACAATCTGGTTATTCTAGTTAAGACAACATATGTTGTCTCAAAAAATGAAGGGATAAGTTGAAAGTGAGCAAAAGAGATAAAGTTGGCCTATACTGTATGTGATCACATGCTACATGAAAGTGCAAAGACCACTGTTAAGCCTGAGTTGACCCGCAGTGATGTGTACTCCACCTGGCTGATGTCCAGACGCTGATCCTGCTGGACAGAACCACCCAGGGGGACAGAGGAGGTCAGCAGAAGTCTGAGCCCATGAAGGGCAGTAAGAGCCTGGGTAACAAGCTTCACAGTCCGCCTCGGACTCAGCCGCAGACCTCGCAGAGAAGGTGCCTGAATGGAGAAAACAAATGATCATGGAAGTACATAGACACAGACAAAGAGGGACAAAAATACAAAAGACACAGCTTGGAATAACTGTCATTTTTCACACTGAAGTAGAAAAAATGACAGTAGTAAAAATGCCAGTAGCAGGCTCCATTAATTCACCTGGTTAAGTAGCTAGCTGCTCATCATGACAGCTTTATTGGACTGCTGTTGAGTTTTATGACCTTCTCTAAAGTTCTGGATAAATAAGCCATTATACTTTACCTCTGAGAGCTTTATGTCATTGTATACCACCTTTGGAGACAGTGTAATAAAAACCAAGCGTATTTGTAAAACGCTATAGCTGATGCTGTTGATGAACATATTCATCATACAGCTTTATCACAAAACTTTCAGAGTAATCGAAATAATTTTGTCCTTATTTTTTCCAAGGTCTTTCTTGACTGTCTCTTGTTTTCTTTACCTGGAGGACATGGGCTGGGCTTTGCACTCCCTCTAGGACAATAGTAGCCTTCAGGACACACATCTCCATGGAACTGACCCAGGGTTGATTCACCAGGAAGTGGGGATGGAGTTAGGATATCTCCTGTAACTGAGACAATAGACCTTTATTGGATGTCATTACTCATTAGGTAGGTGAATGACCTAAAAGGCCAGAGCCATTTTCTGCAATCACAGAAAGAAAAATAATAAGAGATGTAGTGGGGACTGGTAAATGTTTCGTGAAGACCTTCTCAGCTGTGCTGAGTCAAAGGGCATGAAAATGTTAAATAAAACCTGGAGTGCACCGAAAGAAAATTCTGCACAGAAAGATATTTTTCAAGCTGTGTCAGATGACCTTAACTTTTTGTTGTTGTTGTTGTATTTCAAATACCATTACTAAAAAAAACTAGTTTTGCATGTTTTATGCATTTATTAACACTATGTAAAGGGCAAGAGGAAGAAAACTGTCACCTGTGGTATTACCCCAAGGCGTGGCAGATCTGGATCCTTCTCTGCAGTAGAAGCCGGGGTTGCAAAGCCCAGATGGGAAGGAGAGACCATCCTTGGCACAGAAGTGGCCTGGCAAACAAGGCTGACATGCTTCCAAAGAAACCGCTCCTGGCAAACCAAGTTCATACATTTATTATAAAATGGAAAACTAAAAATAAAAGTTAAACATTTCAACTCCACATGGTAGTTATCTTAGGAGACACTTAACAGTTTGTAACTTAAGCTACTGTAAGTCTGGGTATAATGTTCCAGTGTCAAAAACACTGAGTAATTAGTCAGTATTACATGTCACCTTCTATGGAGCTGAAAGTGCCTGCAGGGCAGGGAATCATGTAGCTGGTACCCTGTGGGCAATAGGACCCAGCAGAGCAGCGGCCTCCTGTTGGGTGATCCTCTGGTTGGGGAGAAACAGAACCCTGGATACAAAGGTAACTAAGTGCAGAGAGATGATGAGGATAGAGGTGATTGCAAGGGGTATGTGGGATTAAGGAAGTAATAGATAACAGAAGGACAGACAGGACGAGATGGAACATATAAGGAGATTTAATTACAGAAGGGGACGGTATAAAAATATAGGGAACGAAAATTTCTTTCTTAATCTGGCTGACCGCTTAATGAAGTGTGCGTTTAGTTAGCCTGTGTTTACCCAGCAGAGCAGACCCCAGTAGGAGCAGCCAATCCAGAGGAACTGCAGTATCTCCC